AATATCCAATTTTTCACCAGGCCTGACAACTTTGCCAAATAAAATTGAGTTTTCGTATATGTTCAGGGGGGCAAAAACGCAGTCGAAGTGGCCTTAAAATAATAAGAAACATAGCAAATACAATAGGGACCTCCAGCAGTCGCTGGCTCGGTCCCTAATAACACCAGAATCTCTAGGTTGCGTGAGAAGGGGCTGTGCAGAAGCATTACGTGGGCCCATGCAGTTCTAAAGTGGACGAACATCAGCATCTCTGATCAGAGTTGATCATTTTTTGATGATTCGTAGAGGTGCCCAGAGGACAGCTGTGGCAGCTGATGAGTCCACTGTGGCTCATTTATAATTCACAACTTGACTGACCTCACAGTATTTCTGACAAGTACATTAATATGTTGTTTGTCACTACTTGGCACGTGTAATCCCCTCATCAGCTCCTGTCACACAGCACACAGTCCAGCAGAGAACAGAACAGTGACAAAGTCTGCATCTTGGGTTACACAGGCAAACTGCTGTCCTACTGTATCTGTCTCACTCCTGCCAAGTATCTCAGCTGCTACTTCAGTCCCAGCTGCAGTATTTGCTGCAGTGTGTCAACCCTCAAGTGTCTGTTGGATGAGTGGTAAGTTCGCCTCCAACTCATCCCTGATAGTGACAGGAGGCAACAAAGTATACCTCAGATGATCTATGTCTAACTACTAATAGCCTCATAGCAATGCTGACTGTGTGTGACCAGTGAAAATGATTGAATATGCATAAGCTTGGGTATAAAATTTAGCTTGGTGCAGAAAAGTGCTGATGTTTCAGCTTTGACAGTAGTCTTATTTTTGTCCTGCATGTTCAACATATTGTTGGGGACACGAGAGCAAATCCCAACATAGTCATCATAAACAGTAATAAAGTAAGTAACAAAGTAGAGACAAAACCCAGAGTCCAAACACAATTAGTTACAGTTATTACAGTTTTAGTAGCCCTAAAAGACCAGTGTGTAGGATTTAGAGGCATCTAGCTGAGGTTGGAACTCGCTCGCTTCAGCATCCCCTTCCATGCACGAGGGGGGGAAACTACAGTGGCTGCGGAAAGCGCAAAAAATACAAACGCCCCTATCTAGAGTCAGTGTTTGGTTTGTCCTTTCTGGGCTACCGTAGAAACATGGAGTTTTTGTCTTTTTTAAAGATATTTTTGGGCTTTTTATGCTTTTTACATGGTAGAAGAGGATCTGCCTCCTCTGGGCTGATGAGCCTATACTAAAGTAACACACAATATATACACTAATGAAAACATAGCTATGAAAATTATTTTCCATTAGATCCTCCTAAATTTTACACACTAGACCTTTCAATTATGTTAATTAATTACGTTTTTGTTTATGTTTATGGATTTGTAATCATTTTATGTGTAATATATTGTGACATTATTTGGAAAACTGTCTACCACTATAAGCATAAAATCTGGGTAAAAAAGTTTACTTTTACAACACCACTTTTTAGTGGTTGGGGTTTTAAACACAAAAGTAGTGTCTTTTAGAATCAATACAATGCCAAAAAAACCAAATCGTAATACACACAATATTCTATATTTTCTTAAGCCCCCTATGTATTTGACTGAATGTAGTTCTTATATTAGATTGTGTATATAATGAATGTATATGAACAAGAGAAAAAAATCTAAGTTTTAGTGTATATTAGAAATATTTCAACTAGCAGCTTGACTCTCAACCTGTCAAACTTTGCAGTCAGTGATGTAAATGTATTGAGGGAGCCTGCAGCCACGAAAGAGGCTACAATGTAAGCCTTATGGGCGATTGCACACCGTCAAAGTATGTCCATTCTAAGTAAGTAGGGATGCACAATAATTATCAGGGCAAATACATTTTAGGCCCATAATGGAAAATGTATATTATTATGAAATGATAAATGATCAGTCCATAATAATATTATGTTTTGAATTCATTTTGAATACGATAGCCTTATGCTCTATGAAAGCCAAAGTATGTTGTATAAAGTCCGTTTTTTGATGTACTTCACTAGAGAAAATGAATGAACATATGAAAAGTTTGTTGAGTTGGAGTACAGAAAGAGTAGCTTAGTGTTCTGTAAAAGATTTTCAATGTCACAGCTGAATATTTAGCTGATTTAGACGAGGCATTTGAATTTAATTTATTTGAGCTATACTAGCTATTGAGTATACGGATAAAGACAAAAAATTGGAGAGTGGAAGAGGGAGACAGGCAGAGGAGGGTGAACTAGCTGCTGCAAAGGCTGCAAAGCTCAGGAGACTGCTGGTGGTCCTGGTGGGTGCTGTGACCCTGTGCCTACAGATAAGATTTCACAGACTGGATCAAAGGAAAGGTACCAGAAATGTTTTTTCTGTAGGGTCCTTTCCATAATGAGTCAGTCAGTGGCGAAAACAACAACTTAATAAATCACCCAACAAGGATTAAGTTGTAGCCCGTTTCACGGCTGCAGGGCTCTCACTCAATATTGAACTAAACTCAAAACTTGTTTTCCCCATTAGTCACTTTGACACAGAACATGGGAAAATAAGGTCCACATTGAAAAATACTAATGTTACCCTTTAAGTCTCTGTCACTGGTGCACATTATAATGGAGCTTCTGTGGCCCAGTAATTGGTTTAGGTTAAGGAAATAACAATTCCAAACCCTTACAGAGGTTGGTGGTCGGAGCCTTTAAGTGGGGTGGAGATTGTCAACCCACAGCGCCTGAACAGAACCCTATAGCTTGACCACTCTCTGCAACTGCACTCTAAAGGCAGGCCCATAATACAGCACATTATGGACAGGGTAAAACATAAAAGGACTTGAGATGGGAGGAGAAACCCATGACTGCACTTACTGTAGCCTCTACGTAATCTACCAAATGTGGGACACACCTGGTCCAGTATCAACTTGTACAGTGTGATGTAGAAACTTGAAGCCACCAGTGCACATCCACTGAGAATGGACTTTACAGTGAAGTAGGAGACATCTTGTGTCCAGCATGATTGTGGAATTGTTAATGAGGTAGAAGGAGTAGATTACTTTTTAAGGGTTTTAATGTGGAAACTATATTTTTAGACCGTTACTTACAAATTAATTCCCTACAAACTCTATTTTATACGTCTCTGTCCCTGCCTGAACCTGACGTGTCTAATCTCCAGAGTCAAAATGCTAAAAAGGCTTGTCTGGACGGAGACTGTTTTCGTTTTAAAACTAAAACGTAGTAAACTGTAAATTAGCTGGCCTCCATTGGTCCGCTCCGGTCCTGTCACTCATTCTGCTCCTTGACAGCATTCCCCGCTAGGTCCCCTGATCCTACTAGTACTAGTACTAGACGGGGACTCCCCATGTCCTTTGAGCTCCCCGTCCACGTACACACAGCTAATAGGACCACTAACTAGCTAGTGGCAGCAGCTAGCACAGTTAGCATGTGCAAAAGTGCATCAATAAGTGACTTCCTGTGTTACAAGAGAAATGGTCTGTGTTGCAACAATCCTCTGTTACCTTGGTCCCGGTGACAACGTGTGATGTAAATCCTAATATCTGCTGTACTGCCAAACAATTTCAGTTGACTGTGACATAGATCAGTGACTGAATATATGAAAGCCAGACTGTGTTTAAATGAAATAAACCTTAGTAGTAATTAATTACATTTTAACAGGTAATGAAGTCAGCAGTCTGAACTAGATATTAGAGTTAATGTAACTCTGTTTTAAGCATGTGGCGTGTAAGCGTAAGTGTTTTTCCCCTTTTACATACACACACAACAGGAAAGCCATTCATAGGCTGCACTGTAAACCAGTGTTTGGGGCAAAATGTTGCTTTTCTTTTGGTTTTATGTATGCAGTGATCATCAAAATGTCCATTACTGTAGTTTTCTTCTGCAAAGAGAAACTTCTGGCTATCATCTGCAAACACTTTGAGGCGTTATAGAAGAATTGTTTTGGTGGCAGTGATGAAAATCGCTCACCATTGAGGCCAGGGTCAAACCCCTGACAAGTTTAATCCAGCAGTTACTTATACTTATTAGAGTGATGTTTACCTTTAGACTGCTACTGTCAATGTAAATTAACATTAATTTGGTTCTAATTTTCATTTACTGTAATAATCACTTACAGGCCATTTGTACAAAAAGTCCTATTTCATTCAGATGCAGTGATTTGGTTATAGTTTTTTATTATAAAACAGATACTGGAGAGGTTGATCTAAAGTTTTGGGGGTGGGTGTTTCTTTTTATTGTTTATAATATGGGGAGTGATAGAAGATTTAAGAAGTTCAGAATCGGTATTACAAACACATTGACTCAGTCTAAATAAACATATTGACAATGCAAATTTAATGCCTCCTGATGTTTGACAAATTTGACCATATTGACTGTAATATAAACTATAAATATTTCCTGTGTATTCTTATTTTATTTTATTTAGTTCTGTAAGTACACAATTTTAGTTCACTATAATAACTTTGCTACGTGCTGGAAAAATTGTGGGTGGTTGTAATCTGAATCTTCACCTGTAGATGCCACTAAATCACACTGCTCCTTTAACTTTATTTGGATCTTCCGTATGGTAATTCAGTGTAAGTTTGGTGTATGAACTACACTGCAGACTGGAGTCTCCGCTAACAGGGACAACCAAAGTTAAACCTGTGACTCATATGCTGACTCATGTTAACAGATCCAACACGGGTTGAACACACATTCAGCAGACTCAGAAAGAGCAAAACAGGGCAGCAAGTTATCATAGTTGATAAAACTGCAGCCCAATGAAGATACAGCCATGTACACATACAGGAGCTCTCTCTCTCTCTCTCTCTCTCTCTCTCTCTCTCTCTTCCTTTTTGTAATGTGCAACTAAAATGTTCTATTAACACTGGTACTGCTAGCAGAACAGAGCCAGCCAAGCAGTCAAATATACCTTTAGTACAGTTTTTCTGAACACCGCTACAATATGAAGTTGACAGAAAATACCAGTTGCTTGATGGGGTTGGTTGTGCTTCACTGACTTACCAAGAAGAGCTTCAAACAGGTTGCTTTTGAAAATCCCCATTACTCTCTGAATGGCAGTTTTGAGCTGCAGCTCCTCCGGCTTCCTCAGTTTAGTGCAGTATTCCTCCAAAAGCCCCAGGGCTCGAGCCGTGTCTGCAGAGGAGGGGCAGACAAGACAGGTTACATATATTCGTCATGTATCAATTGGACAATGTTGAGTATAAATAAATGGATACATTTAGGCCACAATACGGGTACAACAGCCCTAAGACTTCACATACAAGACTGTAAATATGGAGAAAGGTTTAGCTGGGCCCTCTCCAGCTGCAAAGACAACATTCCCTGCCCCCAGTTTATCAGAAATGAAATGTCCTAAAGTATCTGGACAGTTCAGCATTCTAGCCATTCCAAAACCATGGACATTAAAGCTGCAGTGGTTAACTTTTATAAAAATAACTTTCTATCATATTTGCTGAAACTTTCACTATATCCTGACAGTAGTACATGAGACTGATAACCTGTGAACAAATTTGGTACATCATCTTTAATCTTCCAACACAAAGACCATTTCTGTATGGAGCTGGCTTTTTGCACAGGGAAATAGGATGTCACGTTGAAACAGGAACGAGCACATGTTGTTGAAAGATGGGAGAACACTAGAGTCTGACGGATAAACTGGTTGGCCGATATTATCAGCCTATATTGACCTATTGCAGACAAATCAGTAACATTTCAGCATATGTGCTATTTAATATGCGCCAATATTAAACTTTTTTTTCCCGGATATAATGCAGAGTAAAATGTTTTTAGTTTATCCAGGTTTATCCAAAAGTATGTGCTGTGATTTTCAATACTGTGGCAAGCGGCACAGAGTAAGGGAGAAGAAGCAGCTCTCAGCAATGTCAGTTGGTATACAATGTGTTACATTATTTAACTTAAATATTCTTTAATAAAGCCATTCAGCCGTCTGAGTGCCTTTGCAGATTCATAACGGTGCACAGTCCACATACCGGCTGTCATATCGGGAATCTGAACTTTTCCCCTCTAAAACCAGTACTGACCTCTGATATCAGTCAGGCTCTAAAGACTGTTGTCTGTCTGCACTCATGTTCATATACTTTTGGCCATATAGTCTATGTATATTGAGGCTAATGGAAACCAGAAGGTTGAGTTCAGACTGTTAATATAAACCGTTGATTGCAGTGTCGTTCACATTTGGTATTTACAAAGATACTGGAGGAGCAGAAGCTCTCAATACCTGTGGCACACACAGAAACTCACCTTTTTTCCTGATAGGCATGGCTGACTCCGTGTAAACTTGACTCTCTCTAAGGCTTCCAGCTCAGGCTTTAGTGCATGGTCAAAAGGTTCCTTCTTAGTGCGACAGCAGAAAACACAGAGGGTTTTGACAAGAGCTCACTGATCCAGTGGCTCTCAAAGTTGGGTCCAGGGACCACCAGAGGGGGAGTATCCAGGGGGTCTGGGTCCATAAAAATGAATGAGGAAAAGATTAATTCCACAGTATTTGATTTCAGCACAATTAAATCATGTGATCACAGGTTTCTCTGTACCAAAGGTAATCCCACGGTCTCCTGCAGCAATGCCTCATCAACTTATGTATGTACAGTCATCCAAGGACTCCAGATCCTAATACATTGTGCATGTTAGCTTGTGTATTACTTCTGTCTTGTCCACATCCTTTAGCTGACAGATGTGCCCTGTCATGACGAGGTTCCAATGCACAACTGGAGACAGAAGCAGTAAAGTCCTCCTCGCAGTCGATGTAGAAAACGCTGGTTTAGTGTCCCATGGTGCTGGAGCTGTCAGGTTTGGAGGTTCTGGCCCGGGTTAACACTCTCTGATTGGTCCAGGGAGACAGACCTGGGTCGGTCCTCTGTCTGAAGTGCCGGTCCACATGATTTTACCCTGCATGACTTTCCTTACCTGAAGTTTTTTTGACCTGCGTACAAGACCAACCGCAGAGGGAAAGGGCGCACCGCACTTCAAATGAATTAACGTCGAGTTTGAAAAGAAATGTCACCTCGTTTTGTTCCCACAACGGTTCAGGAAATGTCTCCTGACACGGAACAGTCACTCAGAGTTTCTGTCTGGAGGTTCTGACTTATGGAGGGACGTGTGTGTGCTCCCCATGAGGCGGCAATTCCTGGAATTAAACCCCCCTTTAAGGCTTCCTGTTAACGGCGCTTCCACGGATAAATACAAACATGTACATAAGTTAGCTAGCATTCATGCTACATCAGCAGACAGCGGCGGAGCCAGACGGAATGATGCTCTCCCAGTGCGACGCCTGGCTGTAGGAAAATACCTGCCTGCCAACTGTGGGAGAAAACGCATGGCTCTCAAATGACTCCATGTATTTTCATTTTCCGTGAAACAGTGACTGTGCATTCGTCGGGAATTTCTCCTGATAGAGAGACAGCGCTAGCCTCAAGCTGCCACATCGCTTTATTCTTTAGGCAGGTAACGTTACTGTACGGCAGCGTTAGCCATAAGAACTGACAGCATCACCAACTGTTTTAAGTACCAGGAACAAGCTAGCCACAATGACAAGTTGGACTTCCGTTTATAGCTTTCAAAATAATACAATCGTCCACAATACATTTTTATAGCGTAGAACCACAATTTCAACTATAGAAAAACATATATAATACATGATTTATCTAAATGTATATATTTTTTATTTATATATTTTTCATATATTTTTATTTATGTACATATTATTAATATATAATAAAAATATATATATTTATTTTAGTTATTAAAAAACCACAGGCGGTAAGCCTATAATGTCAATATTCGTCTCCTTTTCCCTGCCGCTTGATGTCTGTTAAAATTCCCGTGTGTAACATTTAGGAAGATCTGTTATCAGAAATGGAATAATAGACAGTTCACCTCCCTAATGGAACGGACAAGGGGGGGACGGGGGATCCACTGTAAGTCAGTCACACCTCGACTTTCTTCCAAATAACGCACATTTCATTCCTAATATAATAAATACAGGCCTGTAGTTCATGCACATTTTTGTTTTTCTGAATTGTGTGAAATAGATACAAAAATAGGTAATACAAAAACCAAGGTGATTTTGTGCTATTTAGAATATTTATTCTATTTATTGTAGATTATTATTTGTACATTATTTGTAATATTATATATTATAGTTGCTCTCTGCTCTTATTTTTACATATATCTGACTGTATATATTTTGGCACATTTATGTATAGCTATAGTGTGGTTCTCTAAGTTCTGATAACTTATACTGTCATATTTTGTGCAGAACTGTGTTCATTGTCTTTTGGCAATGTTGGAGGTTGAGATTGTGAACCTTTAAAAGTGCAATAGTTAAATCCAATTGTTCTGATGAATGATTTGTGCAATCAAGAAATATAATTCTCTGCCTCATTTATGTTATTATAATAAAACGCCCAGGGTGTCATTCAAGATAGAACCGCCACTGCACCCCACATAACTCATTTTAGTTTCCCAAAGCGGCTCAATGCTTTTGTTTTGAAGGCAAACTCGCCCAGCTTCCTGGTCAAATGCGGTGAGCTTGATGTAGCTGTTTAACTTACCTTAGCAACGCAAGAGGCTGCTCGCTGGTTAGCTGGTTCCCGTCGCGATTGACAGGACGTGACAACCAATCAGATATTGGGATCTCTTGTCGCATCAGGGCGGATCAGCCAATGAGAACGATATAGACCTGTGCGAAGGTGAGAGTTGAAATATTGCTGCATTAAGTGTACTGTAGGAAATATGAACATTCTAGTTTGTTCTTACTTCCATAGCTGGGCATTAATGTTGGTGGCTATAACAAAGTTTCCCTTCCAAATAGTCTAAATACTGTGTTTTTTATATGTTTACAATTTTTCATTTTGTCAACATGATTGTCCATACTACATATTTTACTATGTTAGTTATGTTTACTCTAGTCTATTGTTTACACACATCATGCATTATTGGACTGTTAAATAGTTGTTTTTTTCGGGGGGGGTTCCTCATCTGAATCCAGGGTTTGAGGATAGAGGCTGTTATAAATTGTAAAGAACCAAAGGCAAATTCGGCAAAGCTGTGATTTGTGGTATTGGACTATATAAATAATACTGACTTGAGTTGACAGTGAGTAGCAGTGGGCCTTGGGGATATTCCTCTCAATGGTTGTTGTCATTTGTGGCCCAACAGCAGCCTCTGGTGGCCAATAAAGACAATCAAACATGTAATAGTTGCTGTTGGAAAGGACTGGAACTTGAAAAAAGAGAAAAACGTATGGTTTGGATTCACCGAATATGACAGGAAACTCTTTTCATAGTTTTATTTGATTCATTTGTTTTGGCCAAATGGAATTTTTTACAACAAAAAAGTAATAAAAAATTCAAAATTGTTATTTAATTTTAACATTATTTTGTGGGTTCTGGATTAATGATTTAGTTCTCAGATAAGTAATACAATTATTCTTTTAGCTGAAATATTTATATTTAAACTTCAATCAAGTTTTATTTGATAAAAAATATTGTTCTCTGGAAGAGTGGGACTATATATAGTTTTAAATACGCTGAGTCATATGTTTATCTTTAGTTTCCCTAAGTGCATTGGGTTTATATTGATTTCAATTTTTTCAATTTTCAATTCAATTTTATTTGTATAGCGCCAATTCATAACAGAAGTTATCTCAGGACACTTTTCAAATAGAGCAGGTCTAGACCGAACTCTTTAACATTAATTACAGAGACCCAACAGTACCACCATGAGCAAGACCTTGGCGACAAGGGCAAGGAAAAACTGCCTGTTAAAAGGCAGAAACCTAGGACAGACCCTTTGGCTCTAGGTGGGTGGTCGTCTGTGTCGACCAGTTGGGGTGAGAGAGAAAGAGAGAGAGAGAGAGAGAGAAAGAGAGAGAGAGAGAGAGAGACGGACAGACAGACAGACAGGTGCACAGCAACAACAGTATTGGCAATGGCAATCTAGCAGGACCATGGCAGGAGGCTCCACCAGGATCGATAAGAACATGCGAGACGAGAAAGCACAAGAACTCCGGGGAAGAAGTGAAGTTAGTAACATGCATTAATGGGACATGAATGAGTGCAGAAAGAGAGAGGAAGGGAGGAGCTCAGTGCACCATGGGAAATCCCCCGATAGTCTAGGCCTATAGCAGCATAACTAAGGGATGGTTCAGGACTCACCTGATCCAGCCCTAACTATAAGCTTTATCAAAGAGGAATGTCTTAAGCCTACTCTTGAATGTGGTGAGGGTGTCTGCCTCCCGAACCACAACTGGAAGCTGGTTCCACAGGAGAGGAGCTTGGTAACTGAAGGCTCTGATTTATGTACTCCTGTCCTTTTGTCCTTATCTTGTTACGTTATTTTTGTCTTGTGTGATAAAAGGTACATTTGTGACAAGTGACCTAGTTAAATGTATTTATTGATTCTTAAAAATGTAAAGTTTAAAGCAAAAAGTCTAATTTTTCAGAGCTCATTGCTGTTATTTTCCGAAGAGAATCACAATTGAGCATGTCCAGGCAGGCTTGATTGGAGGAGTTGTGCTGAGGTACTGATGTGACAGTGTAGCTGCAATAACCGAGGCTGAATGTTGTGGAAAACTATAAGAAATCTGATCATTCATTGCTGCTTCTGAGATAAGTATTGCTCCCAATAACTTAACTATGATGTCTATTTCCCTGATTAACTTTTATAATATGAATGACATGAAACCAACATCACAAGTCATTAATATCCTGTTTATTGAAGATAGGACTGCTTGATGCAGTGATCATATTATAGAACAACAGGACTATATACAAATAATCAGTTCTCAGATCAAATATATCTTCAGATCAAAACAATTTGTATGTTTTATAACTTAGATTGCATCCTCTGCCCTATTTCGTATCATCTTTTATAAATACTTGACATACTGAGAAGACAAATTCAACATGTGGTTTAGACTATACAACCTTGTGTGTCAATTTGTCATACAATGATCGTCAGTTATACGGATACATACACATTGCTCAATAAGGCTTCAGTTTGTAGTTTCAGTTGTAGATTCAGCTCAATGTCCTCCCATTAAAGCTGCAGTAGGTAATTATTATTAAAACAAGTTTTGTCATATTTGTTGAAACCTTTAATATTTCCTGACAGTAACACAGATAAATAATCTGTGAAAAAATCAGGCTCCTCTGGCTCGTTTTAGCGCTTCTAATGACATTTCATTCCTAATCAATTTCCAATTTTCCAATATATAGACACTTTGGGTTGGTGGCTTGAAGATAATTGTTGAGTCTCATTTCCACGGTTCCAAGATACCCTGAAATAAGACTCAACAATCAACTAGTGTTCTTGGCTCTAAATTGGTTGTTTTCAGGCCCGGTGGATTCTTGCAAATACCAGGAGCACCAGAAGGACGCAGAGGAACCTGATTTTCACAGATTATCTGTCTCGTGTACTACTGTCAGGATACAGTGAAAGTTTCAGCAAATATGACATAACATATTTGTATAAGAATGAGCTAGTGCAGCTTTAAGTTTCCACACACACATCAACACGTTTTATACAATCTCACTTGCTTTTTGCCATCACCAACATTCTCAGAGGTAAAACATCCTCCACCCATTCACCATCAGACTGTAACATCCTCTGCCATAAGTTTGCTTCATCTGTTGTTGAATCCATCCAAACCACATCCACCCCGTAGCTCTTCCCTGCACAGAAAGGCACATAAATCACTTATCAAAATGAAGGTAATAACTGCAAGTTACAATGATTGAATGTTCTGAATGTGAGGCAGAAACAAAGACTTTGTCCACCTGGTGTTAAAATGCAGTCTGCATGTTATACTGTAGTGTATAGAGCAAAAGGGATTACATAAATGCAAACAATATACCATCTCCAGAGGACACCAATATGTAAACAGTGGTGTAAATGTAATGTGTGCTCATTATCCAGACAGAATATCAAAACTCAGATCACACATTGTACCCACAATTCTAGACCTCAGTGGGTTGTTTGTGCTCCACAGGCTCCCCACAGAGCCGTATCCTGTCCCTACTGTTCCCTCTCTACATCCTAAACTGACTGTAGGAGTCATACAAGGATGGGCACATTCTGAAATTCACAGTTATTGTCACTGTCATTAATATGATAATCATTTTCTCAGTCTGAACATTTCTAAAACCCAAAGCTATGGTTATTGACTTCAGAAAAAAATCACGTCTCTGTCACAGATTGTTTCAGAGTAAGAAGTGGAACTGCAGGCATAGAGATGGGAATTGAGAACCGCTTCCAAATTGTCCAATCCATTAGAATCGTATGCCACAAAGCTTATCATTTCCTTTTATCAACGCCGGCATATTTTTTATGCGACCTTGCTTGCTTAGAAAGAGAATTTTCTCATATGGTACAAAGAGATCTGTGTATCCAAATTCAGATCACACTCCAGGGGGAAATTAGTTCAAACTCGTATCAAAAGCATCCAGACTGTAGGTGGAACCATGTTAAAATAGTATCAATGGAGTGGACTCTCACCTGTCCCCAGCCCCAGCCTCAGACCGCCGATATAGTGGTTGTTCAGCCGGTCGTGATCCCACACCGTGATCTCCACACAGGCCTCTCTGAGGTCATCCGGTCGGAAGCCGTCGTAAACCATGGTGTGGTTGAACATCGGGTTGGCCGTTCTCTTCACCACCCGCGTCTTCTGCCGGCTTTTCCGGCTTGTGTCGGGAAGTACAGTGCTTGATCGGGAAGGAAAGCAAGGAGATAAAAATGAAAATGTATTCATTTGGACTGACCTGACAAAAACCTAGCCAGGTATGGAAACGACGTGTACAAAATTAATAATAACTGTTAAATAATACACGTTTTTACATTTTCAAAAGTCAACTTATGAAAGTTATGAAATGTTACTTCATTCTGCTACTGAAAGTGCACTAAAGTGTATTGCAGTTCATTTAGATATTATTCATGCAGTTTATATCAATTTATTTAATTTCAATGTCACTTTGTTTTTATTCTTTTGTGATTGGCAGTTATATGAAACTGAAAAAAACAGCTGGAATAAAAAAGAAAGACCTGCAATAAACTATCTTAGTGGTGATAAAACAACATTTCAGAATAAGTTAAATATCATTTTTTAGTTTCAGTTAGTGAAAGTTATGTATTTTGTAATGATCACTTAATTCATAATGTTGGATTTATTTATGGAATTTTGAGTCCTTTGGCTCCTACCATTTCACAAACGGGTCGATAACAACTCCTCTGACTGGAGGAAGATTCTTGCAGTCTTTCACCCAAATTTGCACCTCACCAGTCTCCATCCTTGATGTTCTCTTGCCTGCAGATGCAAGTCAGAGTGTCATGAGTGATGAAACTGAGAGAAAGGAACTGATAAAAAACTGAAGAGTCATCAGCTCACTGTGGGACGTCTGCGGCAGGAATCTCAAGGCGACTCTCATTTGTCCTCTGCTGTCCATCGGACGTGAAGGAGAAGATGTCAAAGTGTGTTCTGAGACCTGAAAGTTTGAGCTGAGGTGAGTCAATCAAATCACTTCTACAATATGCAGACTGGGTAGAGAACTGAAGTCTTTACCCTGGGTTTTAATGCATATTCATTTATCTGTGTGTTGCTGAAGTCCCACTCTGACAGATCCAGGTCCACCTCCCCCAGGAAGCTGTTCCGCCCAAAAGTATCGTTGTGCCACACAGAGATGTTCAAGTTCTGAGTTTTCAACACCTCTATCATGATTTTAAACTATGAAAGGAGAGGAATGCAACAAAAATGTGTAAAATATGCAACACATATAAGTGATCTGTAAAAGACTAAATATGGAATACTTACCCTGAGGATTTCATTGTAGGTGGGGTTTAAGGTCTTCTTCTTTACATTGGTTTTTCTCTTTCCCAGCTTTGTTTTGTCAGGAAGAAGGTAACATTTCACATACCTGGAAAAAGAGACATGTGTCAGCCTCGTTCCTGAGCTGCCTGTGCCCTTTCTCAAACCTTTGTTTAACAATTATCACAATACAGAATATAACATTGCACTTACGGGTCAGAGCGGTTCTTCTTGGTGTCTGCCACTGCCAGATCCCTGCAGTGCACCACAAAGACGTGGAACTCTCCAAGCTTCTGAATGTAGTTCACTGCTAACTGGAGGCTCCCCTGGACTTCAATGTCCCCAAAGTCTGCAGGGTAAATGCTGCTCATGCTGCCACTCACCTGCTCATTCATAGTAACACAGATAAGAGAAAACACCATTCGCTCTGTTGTTAACTCATTGTTCGTGTAAAGGGAAAATGACTACATTCATTTGTAAAAAAAAAACATCATTGTCTTTTTTATATAAAGATCACCTCCAAACATGTATTAAGACACAATACAAATGTCAGTTTGGAACAGTAATGTGTGTCTGGTATGTTTTTTTCTAGGAAAGAAAGTGTAATTTTAACATTAGAATCCTTAAAAAGTAATCTACTCCTCCTACCTCATTTAAACTTCCAGAATCTCTGAATATGCAAATGTTGATTTCTAAAGTTTTCCTGCTGGACACAAGATGTCTCCTACTTCACTGTAAAGTTCATTCTCAGTGGATGTGCACTGGTGGCTTCAAGTTTCTACATCACACTGTACAAGTTGATACTGGACCAGGATGGACTTCCTAACTATTTGTGATGTCACAAATCATGCTGGTAGGCCCCGCCCCTTAAAATCTGAATTTTCAATGAGCACAGAGAAACTTTCCACTTTCAGCAGATGAATGTGAAAACATCCTTCTAGTGTCAAACTTTGCACACACATCATTCAAACAGCAGTGACAGAGGCTGTTTTCTAACTAGCCCCAAATCTTTCGCCTCAGTCCCTTTGACTGGACCGACAAATCAATTGAGCTAAAGTTCTGTCATCGCCATCTATAGGTCTGCCCTAACATCGTCATGGGGGGCTGTGGTCATGCGTGTGCTGTGTTTCATTCGTCGTGTCGTGTCACCTCAGTGAACACATTAGCTAGCTATGGACATAAAGGTTTTCATGAGGAGTCAACCTCAATGATGCTTGTGTTCTGCCTTAAAAATTATGAAGACAGTTGGAGATCAATTAGAAAAAAAAAATAGGTAGTAGGCTTTACAGGATGATTTTTTTCCAGACAACTATCATGCTTTTCTCAAATGATGCAAAGATTTTTAGCCATTCTATATCTCAGCTGGCTTGAAAACAGTGCATATAGCTGCTGTAAATGGGGGACCTAGGGGAGCATGCCCCGGACCCCCCTAGATTTGGACTAAACCCCAAACGTTTACTATGTCTGGCTTCACCCCTCTGTACAGTAAAGCTTAAACAGTCAGCTGTAGGACAAAGAAGAAAAAAATAGTGGAAGGGGTCTTTAAGTACATTTTATGGCAGGTCTTTTTTTTTTTAATTCAAACCTAGTAATTCAAGTCCTATTTCTCAGATAAATCTCAATTTGTAAATGTTAATAATGAATCTTCCATGCACACTAAAGTTAGCATGGAGTTCCATAAGGTTTTGTGCTAAGACCAATTATATTCACTTTATAAACTTAGCACAAAAAGTAAGGCAATTTGTGTTTGGTATCTTATTTCTCTGTGGTAACAATGCTTTTTGGCAATAAATCTTATACCGTCGGAAAGCCTGTTTAATTCCCAAAATGACAAAATGGTGCCCCATTTGTAAGGAACATGCATTTGTGGGATGATGAGTATGTGGGTTGCGCCCATGAAAAATTTGCCAAATCTTTTCTGCCATTGCCAAACAGGTTATTTTGCTGTTGCTATTGACACTTGTTTTGAGCTTCTGGTACCCCCAGGTGCTGCCAACCAGGTGCCTGATTGGCACCTGATTGGGCAGCTAATGGGGCAATAGGGCAACTTTAAGCTGGTGTTCCACAAAACCAAGTTGCGGCATTATTTGGAGTGAGCCCCAGTACCATCTCCAAACTGAAGGCCAAGTTCCATAAAACGGGGGATGTCAAAGACAGGCCGCGAAATGGGCGTCCCAAGAAGACGACACCCCAAGAAGACCATTTCCTCACCCTGTCAGCACTTAGGTGCCGTAGGCTGTCTTCTACAGATTTGCAGTCAAGTTTGCAGGACGATATGGCCGACGGCTCTCTGCCCAGACAATCCGGAACAGACTACACGCAGCCAATGTCCGGTCTCATAGGGCTGCCAGGAGTCCTGCCATGACTGCCCTTCACCGTCAGGCCCGTCTGCGCTGGTGTCTGCAACACATGCACTGGAACCTGAACATGTGGAGGAACGTTGTGTTCAGTGATGAGTCCAGATTCTGCCTACGGCAGAAGGGTCGTAGGGTCAAAGTGTGGAGAAGACGCGGAGAACGCTTTGGGTGGAGGCAGTGTGATGGTGTGGGGCGGCATCTCCCTCACTGGAAAAACAAGGCTTGTCATCATTGGAGGCAATCTCAATGCAGAGAGATATAGAGATGAGATTCTGCAACCAGTGGCAATCCCATATCTCCACAGTCTGGGACTGAACTCTATCCTCCAAGATGACAGCGCTCTCCCCCACAGGGCGGGGTTTATCAGAGACTACCTCCAGAATGTAGGAGTGGAGAGGATGGAATGGCCTGCCAGCAGTCCTGACCTCAACCCCATTGAACACTTGTGGGATCAGCTTGGGCGTGCTGTTCGTGCCAGAGTGACCAACACAACCACGTTGGCTGACTTGCGACAGATACTGGTTGAAGAATGGGATGCCATCCCACAGCAGTGTGTGACCAGGCTGGTGACCAGCATGAGGAGGAGGTGCCAGGCTGTTGTGGCTGTGATTCTTCCACACGCTACTGAGGCTCCTGTTTGTGAAATGAATAAATTGTTAAATTGCCAATATGTCTTTTTTCTTCAAACTTCAATCATCCAGTCCACCAAACACCAAACAAGTCAATGGCAGAATAAGCTGTTTGGCATTGGCAGAGAAGATTTGGCAAATTTTTCATGGGCGCAACCCACATACTCAGCTCTGTTGCTCATCCCACTAGTGCATGTTCCTTACAAATGGGGCACCATTTGAAAGGGAACTAAACAGGCTTTCCAACGGTATAAGATGTTAATGCCAAAAAGCATTGTTACCACAGAGAAATAATCAACCAAATTTCCTTACTTTTTGTAAGTTTATATGCTTCATTTAGGCAACATTATTAAGAATTACTCCATTAACTGTTATACAGATAATACCCAGTTATATTTATCAATCAAGCCCGATGAAATTAATCAATTAGCTAAATTATAAGCATGCCTTAAGGACATAAAAACCTGGATGACCTACAATTTTCTGAAAGTTCTTGTACACCTCCAAAACTCTTTATCTAAAGATACAGTTACTCTAGATTGTATTACCTTGTCCTCTAGCACCACCGTCCGGAATCTTTGCATTATCTTTGATCAGGATATGTCCTTTAACTCCCACTCCCTTTTTTCAATAACGTAACATTTCTAAAATCAGACATCCTGTCACGGACGGATGCAGAAAAACTAATCCATGCATTTGTTACTTCTAGGCTGGATTACTGCAACTCTTTATTATAAGTCCATTAAGACACTCCAATTAATTCAAAACGCTGCAGCACAAGTATAGACAGGAACTCAGAAAAAAGTTCATATTTCTTCTGTATTAGGTTCTCTGCACTGGCTCCCTGTAAAATTCAGAATATAATTTACATCCTCCTCCTCACCTACAAACCACCAAACTCCTCTTCTGTCTAACTAGCTTTTGGTTTTGGGAGGCAGACAGCCTCCCGATTTAAGAGTAGGCTTAAGACATTCCTCTTTGATAAAGCTTATAGTTAGGGCTGGATCAGGTGAGTCCTGAACCATCCCTTAGTTATGCTGCTATAGGCCTAGGCTATTGGGGGATTTCCCATGGTGCACTGAGCTCCTCTCTTCCTCTCCCTCTCTTTCTGCACTCATTCATGTCCCATTAATGCATGTTACTAACTTCACTTCTTCCCCGGAGTTCTTGTGCTTTCTTGTCTCACAGGTTCTTATCGATCCTGGTGGAGCCTCCTGCCATGGTCCTGCTTGACTCCCATTGCTAATATTACGGATATTATTGTTATTCGTATTACAGTTACTATTATTATTACTACAGTTACTATTATTACTATTATCATTGCTCATTGTCCCCCATCGTTGTGGCTGTTGTCGTCATCAGTCACTTCTATAGTTGTTGCTACTGTTGTTGCTGTGCACTTTTGTTTCTGTCTCTGTGCCATTGAACTGAATTAAATTTAGGTCTTAAGTAGGAACCAATGGGTTTGGAGCTGAAATCCACAGACAAGGAAGGGGAGTCGGTATTGAGGAAGGAACTGTCATATTGTTGGTTTGGGTCTTTTCATGGGATTTGTTGACTAAATAACAATAAAAAATACAGAATATCGCCAGCCTTATCCTTAAAAATGTCTGCACACTGATTTTTATAAACCACATGCTATGCTTAAAAAATAATCAAAGATAAAAACATTCAGATTAGGTAGGTTAAACTGTGTATTTTTATCAAAAACCTATATTATGCAGTGAGTTGCATGTGGACATACAGATGACATGGAGGCCATTCCCGAGGAGAGACTTAGGTTAGACGTGGAGCTGCCCGTGTTTCTTCTCCAGCCTAGGTTGGTCTCAAAAGTGTTGTCACTGTCCGTCTGATATTAAAAAAAATCAGTTATAGAAGAAGAAAAAAAAAATTAGTCATAAGAGCAAATAAATTGTTGATCTATTATGTGGTAAGTCAAGTTGGTAGCTGTATCAGGTCACCAGTTGCAGTGCAGATGTTGAACACTGGATATTTTGTTTGTGAGTTCAGTACAAGAGTCAGTTAAGAGCGATTTACCTCGTCCTGCTGAAGAACAGGCACAGACACACTTGTTTTTATCTGCTTTGAGTTGGAGAGAGGGAAGGCTGATGGTTTAGCAGAGACTGAAAGAAAGATATGATTTAAATCTCTTAAAGTTGCAGTATAATGAATATTTCTGTACTGAAAGGATATGCTGATTTAAAGAGCGAAACACATCTTTACCATCATCCACACTTTGATTCATTTGTTCTCTTGAGGTATTTTGGGTCGTCTCTTCTCCTAAGAAATAGGGCCATGAGACAGTATTATTTACATACCACTCCCAACATTTTATCATGTAACTTGAAATAATTACGGAAGCCCTGAGAGCAAGTGAGAACAAGTCTGAAATTATTTTCCTGTGTGTGTCTGTGTGTGTGTGTGTGTGTGTGTGTGTGTGTGTGTGTGTGTGTGTGTGTGTTGTGCCAGGATAGTTCCTTAATCTTTTTAAATCTGACAGTTGAAGAAAAGTAAGTTTTGCCAGGATCTTAGGGGTCAAACCCGCAAAGTGTTTGTTGTTGTTATACTAATTTTGGCCACAAGAGGCTGAAGTGCACCACTACCCCATGTTCTAAATCCAGGTGACTTTGAATTCCTCCATGCACTCTTAAATTAGTGTAAAGTATAAAGAACAGTATACAGTCGGTACCTTGTGTGAAATAAACCCTTTTGGTGCATCTCAGGGTCTTGTGGCCAAAACTTTTCACAGAAGGGAAAAAAAAGCAACTGATTCTTTCACCTGTTCTCAAACCATAAACAACAATTTTTTTTCTCACTTGCCGCTCTCAGGGTTTCCATAACTAATGCACTTGCAATACAATAAAGCTTTATGACCATCAGCTGTGTTAAAGAAGAACAGTATCAGAAGATTTAAAAGTTGTGTTACTTGTTTGTGAGTTGAGGTTTTCCAGACTTTTGGATGAGGACCTGCTCTTCGAGGACAGTCGTTTCAGAGCTGACATTACAGGACTAGAAATCTCATTATAACCTGCCACAAATTAAACAAAATCAGCTCTGGAAACGCAGATGTTACATATTTTACGATTTACTAAGCAACCATGTAAAACTGTTTACTTTTAATAGAAAACAAGTAGAACGTTTATTTAGTCAAACATTTCAGTTAAGTATAATGCTTAGTAACTCATTTTAGGGTGTAAAAAATTTCATCATAGTAAACACTACATGGCCCTACAGTGTTTTCAGTTTATCGTGATGCATTAACAGGAATTGTATTGTAGTAATAAGTTGCTTCTTACAAACCACATATCTACTGCAGCAGCAGCTCCTTAATCACAAGACGCTGCTCTACTAAAAGCATTTAACGAAGAACTAAATTGTTTTCTACTGGCCAAAGGGCAGCTAACATCCAAACATTTGTACAATTTTGAATTGATACAATTGAAGAGGAAATACAAAAGGAAAAAAAATTTAAACACAGCTGCAAAGAATTACAGTAAAAAAATGTGATGAATTAGTAGGGCAAGTATACCAACTCTCTGTCAAATCAGACCTACTGTAATGTTAATATGTTAACTTGTTATTTGTTTCAAGACAATATCACTGTATTTTCTATTTATCAATCATTATCTCGAAAAATATAAATGGAGAGAGAATTCAAATGCTCACTGCTTGAACTTGCCCGAGACAGAGACCATGCCCTTGTCGTTGTGTCTTGGCTGCAGTTTCCATCTTTATTTTGCACAATCCAAGAATTGATCCTAGGAGGAGTCCCCTCACTTGGACTGTCACTCTGGTTTCCCACAAAGTCTCTGAGGGCATTTTGTGGTCTGTGTACCACATCACTGTCTGCAGCAGCAGCAGCAGAAGCAGCTTTCTCTTGGTGAAAAGAAGGAACATGGGCCTTCTCCTGTGGCCCAATGTAGTGCTGATAATCCTGAGGGATGAAAGATCTGGCAAGACGTGTAAAGGTCCCTAACTTCTCTGAGGCTTTTTTGGATTTTGAAGTAGAGGAGCTTGAACTACTTTGTTGCGTATTCACATTACCAGAAGAAGTCCCACTGTCTTCTGGACAAGAGGTGATGTCTGTGCAAGGTTTAGTGTCTGTCAGCACAGCCGGCTTTACTTCATTAGAGGGACTCTTCCTCTGTCTTGGCACTGGTGTCGGCTTCCCTTGATGCACATCAGCAACCTTAGTTTGGGGGTCAATATTTATTGGAAAGGTTTTCAAGGGAGAGCCTTCCAGCCTGGATCTTGAAGGACTGGAGGATTCTAGGACCCTTGGGTGGCAGGTCTTGGATGGACTCCTCCTGACTTCATCATCCAGGTCTTTTGATCTTGGAGTTGGGGATTTACTAGGACTGAGGGGCCTTTCTTGAGCTTCTGTATCAGCCTTGACTTGGTATAGGTGACATGTTGAGTGTACATCCCCATTACTACCAGAACTCCTCAGCTGTAACCTGTCTGGGCTGACAAAACCCTTGTCTGTCACAATTAATGATTTTGAGACAACATTCGACTTGGTTTTGTATGGAGACGTTTCTACTTCTGCTTCAGACTTCCCGCTGCCATCCAAGGATGTTCTCAGATCGGACTCAGCGGAAACCACTTTGTTACTGAGTACTGAACTGCTTGAGCCTTCCTTGACTCTTTCAGCGATTACCCTGGGTGTTTTATACTCCTTCTCCCAGAGATTCTTAAGCTGACTGATCTCGGCTGGCTTGTCTTCTTCAAGACTGGAACAAGATTTCCTGGGAAGGGGAACTATAATATCCCCCTCTTGCTCTGGGGTGTTGAAGGCTACAGAGAAAGGTACAGGAGTAATTTCCTTTGGCTCAGAAATCTGTGACTCTGTTACTGAACCAGTTACGTCATCTGTCTCTTCATAGATGAGGACTGGATTTGCTCTATATGTGCCATCTTCTTTAGATAAATCTACTAACAGACTACTGTCAGTCAGTGGTGACAAACTCTTTTCTTGGACTATTCCAGCAGTATCCTCAACTGTCAGTTCCATTTGAGACGAAAGATTGTTGTTTATGCTTTCCACATCTGAGTTAGTCTGAGGGCTATGCAAAGCTTCTATTTCTGTCTTGGTGATGTCTTTGGGCCTTGCCTCTTCTCTGGTAAATATTATTTTGGGACCACTGTTTTCTCTCTTCCAGAAAGCTTTCAGATCGGATAGCTTTTCTGGAAGCTGAACAACCCTGCCTTCTGTTGTCTCTTGCTGACTGTCTGCATCTACTGAGGTTTCTGTTTCTTCAAATGGAGTGTTTTGCAGTGCTGCAAGTTGTACTGTTCTGACCGCTGTCATCTCAGAGGATTTAGCTTCTGGAGTGACACTTGCAGGTTTGTCCACGATGGTATCTGCAGCACCTTGGGAGAGATTCTGGGTGTTGCCAGATTCTTTCTGCTTAGATATATTCACCTCTTCTTTCTCTGGACTCTGTACCTCGGTAGTTTTATCTTTTTCTCTTCTAAAAATTCCAAGCAGCCTTTGTCTTGGCTTTGGTGAAACAGCATGAGATGAACCCTTTGAACTGCAATTAGTTGACAGCTTGGTATCTAAAGTAACCTCAACAGAGTTGTCCTGCTGAGTGCTTTGTTCAGGCAGCTTTTGGTGAATATTGTGTCCAGTTTGCCAGTCTGTGGCCTTAGCCTGAGAGTAACAGTCCTCTTCAGGCACTGTCTCCAGGTTAACATGCTTACCTGACTCCTGTTCAGCAGAAACGAGTCCAGACACTGAGGGGCTTAGGAACCCCAAATGACAATGCTCAGATACATCTGCAAAGACAGTAACCACCAATTGGATCACTCATGTACATTATATCTGCTAACAACTGCACAGAATAATAAGTTAGCTTTTCTTGGTGTATTACTATTAAATGAAGGAGGGCACTTCATTTTAAAAGTCACTATGTAAATTATTTGAAAAAGGTACTTGTCAGTGGTAGTATAAAAAAGACACAGTGGCACACAAAAATACACATACTAGCAGATCTGCCTGGCACTGAAAAGAAATGGCTCCAACACATAGAAATTGCCCCTACATCCAATGTCCCCTTTTGAGGGAAAGATAACTATTTCACTAAAGCTTTCACTGTGTGATTTCACATAGGGTACACAGATTTTGAATTATCACTCTCAGCGAGGAAAATGGCTAAAAGGAGCTTGAGACAGTTATTACTGATGGATAAAGTAAGCTTGACAGCTGGCATCAGTAAGCTAAACTTGTCTACCAGATAATGAACTCCAATTGTAGACCAAATACAATTTGCAGTATATTAAGGCTGCACCTCAGCACCCCACTCAAATACTTTGGTATTAGCAATGCCAAACTTCATTTCACAGTAATATAATAAACCAATGAAAGTCCAACACATGGCATGAGACATTAATGGAAAAGTGTGACAAATATTGATTGACATCTCATGAATGAAACTCTTCAGAATCATGTGACAGATTACCCATAATGCCAAAGAAAAGTACAGTAAAACCCAATACAATAAAAAAATTCTTGCTGTTCTTATCCACCAGTCTTACATGCACACATTTTATTGCATGCAAGAACATGCAGAAGCAGGATTAATGTGGACAATTCTTTATGCTTGTAAATGTTAATCAATGAATATATATATTGAAGACAATGTTGGTTAGTTGGACTTGGTGATTGGCTGTTTAGTTGACACACTGGTTTTAAATAAAACGCTTACCACCGAGGACCTGGTGTTGACCAACTTGTTGTTCTTGGAGGTGCTCATTTTTGCAGTTGAGTTCGTGAGAATCCAGTGGACTGAGTAAAGGCCTATTTGTGCTAACAGTGGCAGTGGCGGTATTCTCAAGGTCACTATTATTTTCTATCTCAGAGAGAGCGATGGCGTCGAAGTCCAACAAACTGTGCTCTCCCAGCTCCTTCCCATCCTGCCACTCCACTGTGCTCAGACTGACCATTGAGCTGAACCTCACCTGCTTCCTGTCTAGCCAGGTCTCAGTGGGAGAATGCAGGCTAACTGGACTCTGCGTATCCAAGTGAGAGAACAGGGAGTCGGAGGAGCTAGAATTAGACAAGTGCTTGAGGATGCCACGCGGAGCAGCATAGTGAGCCTGTCTACCTCCTGACACGTCTACCTCAGTAAAAGAGTCCTGAGAACAGGGGCTGACTGCTCTGTTTTCAGGCAGTGGCAGGGGAACAGATGCATTCTGGCTGACTGGGCTATCATTAGGGTCTTGTTTAAGGTTGCTAGCAAAAGAAAGGCAGCTGTCAGGTGATGGTAAAGGCCCTGAAAGAAACAAAAACAAATGAAACCATTTAACCAACAACACATAAGCTGTGTGTTTTTGTCTTGAAGGCTACTCTGGGGTCCCAGTTCCTACACTATAAGACTCCAGTCTTCCATCAGTGGTGGAAAGTCTAGTCTAGCTGTGGTTCCTTGTCATGTTTCAGATGACTGAGTTGGACGATCCGCTCTAACTCTGAGCCATAGTTGCCCCCCCTTGTTATTTAGCATGACTTAACAAGATGGCTGGAAGGCTAACCATATGGTGCTATCCAATGAAGAAAGGAGGGGGACTGTCCGTGCTCATAAACAACAGGTGGTGTAACGCCGGGCACGTCTGTGTGGAAGAGCGTCTGCAGCCCGGACATCGAGCTGTCACCGTCGGACTTCGTCCGTGTTGTCTGCCACGGGAACTTTCCACGGGAACTTTCCAGTGTTGTCGCCATCACTGTCTATATTCCTCACAGTGGTCTTCATCATCACCATCACTGTTTACATTTATGATGTCTTTATTTATTCTCCTGTACAGCACTTTGGTCAACTTTGGTTGTTTTTAAAGTGCTTAACAAATAAAGTTGGATTGGATTGGATTGGATCCATTTGTCTCATGAACTCGGAAACCGAGTTGGAAAGTGTAAATAGGTGAAAATGGGAAAATATTATTGAAATGTAAGACTTGCAATAACAGAATTACTTGAAATGTTAGTGTTTCTGTAGAAAAACATTATTATTTCACATTGAGCTTGTTTAGATGAGCCACAAGCAATAATAAGACAGCTGCTGCACTGGTGGCGTCCATGTTCTTTCCGACTCGTAATGCCCAAAGACCCAAAGACAAACTGGAACGCTAGAAGTGGTACAAGCCAGGGAATTACGTCAAGTTCTCGCGTCAGAGCAACTCGGGCTCCGAGTTCACGAGACAAATGGATAGCACCAATAGCTTGTTTGGTCGCTAACAAAGTACTACCTGAGTGGATATGTTAGTTGGCTAATGTTGGCTTGCAAAAAAATGACTTCACCAGCTCACGTGAACCATCATACTAACTTATGTATTATAACAAACAGTGTTGATTTTAGCCAACAATAAATTATGTAATATACAAAGCGATTGCTTTCTACTAGCCAAGAGCTATGCGAGGCTAACTAACTGTAGCTAAGCTAAACTGTGGTCGTTGACTGTCATGTTTGGCCGATACCCAGGATGTGTATGGAGTTGCAGTTCACTTAACTGCCACTGTTGTCACTATTAACAACGTTTTTCTGAAAGTTATATATAGAAGGTTTAAGTTTTCAAGATCTACACATTTCAAGAGCTTTTTGTGTACAACATGCACCTTGGTTGATGTACATACATAACTGTTACAGTCTTCAGTATGGATTATTAGGTAACCAATTGACCTATATGTGATTTGTGATTATAATTTCTCCCACAGAAACATTGTTTTCACAGCTCCTGTGAAATATTTCCAGCAGCCACAAGTCATGCAGTACAGATTAAGGCTTTGGAATGTATTTCTGTGTAATCCTCTGGTTAGTCTGGAAGCCTTTTTTATTTGGACTTCCATTCACTACAACCCTTGGGAAAATCTGTGGTCCGAGCTCTCTGGCTCATTTCACAGTGACTGGAAGAGAACACACTTACATATTAAAACTTCAGCTGTGGGACTTTGATTCAATTAAAGCATTGTCTCTCTTATTTGACCTTAAGAATGCGGTTCTTGAGGTATTAAATATACTTAAACAAGCACTGTTAATCAACCAAGGACCTGTGTGGAATTGTAATTTGGCACGTTTTCTGTAACACTGTGTAAAAATGCCTTCTCTGGAATTGCGACAAAAACAAAAATGAACTAAAATCAGATAACAAAATTGTTTGAAATGGCAAGCCAGTACATGCTCCCCACTGCCATGCAACCAATGTTCATGCACAGGTTGTTAAAAGGAAATGCTGAAATAGCTGAAGAGATAAGGACCCACACACCTGGATGTCTGAGTGACTGCTAGAACCAGACTTACATGGGTTTGTAACGCAACTGCTTTCACAATTTGTCCATCGAGCAGGCCACTCAGTTTGAAACATAACACATGATATATCATTAAATCACAATGGATCCACTTACAGTCATAATACATATTTAAAATAGCAAAACCGATGTTCTTATAAAGACGCACCCTCATTTGGTGTCCGGGGTTGATCCCCTGCTCCATGTAATAACCGACTGTACTCCCCTTCCAAAGGGTGACTTGCAGGGTCCTCGCTGTTGAATGGATTTTTTCTTTGCTTCAACACAATAAAATAGATACATATAACACTTGCAACACACTGAAGCGTGAATGATTTTGTTTTCCATACAGGATCCTACCTTTGTTGGTGAAACTGGTTTAGATGTATCTTGTGGTGTTTCAAAAGGGTTCTGGTATTGATAACTGTTAAAATAAACAGATTACAAGATTAACTGACAATTTCTGAAAATTGGCTGTGCAACTTCAAAAGAAATTAATTTAATCTTGATTTGGAAAATCTACATGCTCATGTAAGTGCATTACATTGCCTTCTATACAATTAACACCATTTGGTCAATGGGCAGTAAATTAATCTCATTACCTAAACACTGCCTGTTGTTTTTGTCACAGCAAATGTTGCAACTGTGCAAGGTGCAACAAAACTTCAGGGCAAATAATCAGAATATAGATAGAAATAAAACTGGAAGGTTTGCTGTGGGTAAGGGCTACTGAAACAGCCTTAAAAGAAAGAAAAACATTTATGTGTAAGGGTTTACCCCTCAGGAACAGTGGAAAACATGACCATGTGACACCTGACCTTGTAAGACGATTACTGAGAAATCTGGGGCCAATTACTAAGTATCCATTTACTGCTTTCACAACTCCAGTCATTAGCAATCACACCCAAATACTCTACTCTACTAGTGCAGCATGTGATGGTACTTATAACAGACTAAACAGGCCATATGTTTTGTTTATAGTGAAGTTACTGTTTTCTAAATGTGTACAGCAATTTGTACTTTACAAATTATTACTTAAAGCTGCAGCAGGCAGAGTTTTCTTTAAACATTAACTTGTTTTACATGAACCAAAACAGAGTTATAAACTTGCTAACAATGGCTGAAGTGCCACAACAAAAGGCAATGTATAAAGACCATTGGGTAAAATCTTTCAATTTACAATCTGTCTGTTATTCTACTCTTCAGTTTCAAGGATAAGTCTGGTGATAAGTCTCTTCTTGTCAACACCAAACAGACATTTCCCCTTTAAACATCTTACATGGTGTCATTTTAATTACTTTGTTCTTCTTTCCTCTCCCATTAAAGCTGCAGTAGGTTTTTTTTTTTAAACAAATAACTTACACAAATACAAAATAACTAAAAATCAGGTTTGTCTGACTCCTCCTAGTGCTCCTAATGAACAAAACCAACCAATCAGAGCCAAGAAAGAGAGTTGACTGTTGAGTCTCATTCCCAGGCCAGGGGATTCACAGGTAAAGGATATAGTGAAAGTTTAAGCAAATGACAAAAAGTTATTTTTATAACAGTTACCTACTACAGCTCTAAATACAGTACTTGAGTAAATGTACTTACATTCCTAACTAATGTGATAAACAATTGACCTCCACTTGCACCCTACTTTCTGCTTTGGTTCTCTAAACTCACCTTTCATTGCTGAGCTGCATGTGAGGCTCCTGAAGGACTCCGCACAGAACTGCGGGGACGAACACTTCTTTATTCTCACTGCTGACAAAACTGGGCTTCTCGGGCAGTATCTGGGAGAGCTCCACTGCAGCACACAGACACAGCTACTGTCATTACAGCATAGACAGCTTATAATTACCTCACAGAGTTATGTAAAACAACCCAGATGTATTTATACGTGTCCCTCCTGACCAGAATGGTAAATGGTAAATGGACCTGTACTTGTATAGCGCCTTTCTAGTCTTCCGACTACTCAAAGCGCTTTTACACTACATGAGACATTCACCCTTTCACACACATTCACTCAGTGATGGCAAAGTCCATCAAACAGAAACTAACATTCATACACATTCACACACTGATGCACAGCATCAGGAAGAATTTGGGGTTCAGTATCTTGCTCAAGGATACTTCGACATGTGGCACCAGGAGCCAGGGATCTGCCTCTGAGCCACAGCCGCCCTTGAAGAAAAAGAAGAAAAGATCATCCACCTAACTTGGAAGTTTTAGAGGCAACTAATCGTCTAATCTTCTGTTTCAGGTAGGTGCTTACTCTACTTTCTTATTGTAATATTTATACCAATATAAATAGGGCAAAAACATATATTTAAAAAAATACAATAATGCTGATTTCCGTTAAGCTGAACCCCTGCACAGCCTCTGCTCAGTCATGTACAATGATTTAAGAAGTCCTTGTAATCCTGTTATTTTGCTTGCACTGACCCTTTTGTCTAGCATTTCCTTTGCTGACCTTGAGGATTATTACAGCCTCATGAAATTTAATGACATGAGGAATCACTTTTGACACAATCTGTTGGGTTCAAGAGAATGGGGTCTTTTGGAGTCACATTGCGGAAGAACTGCAGTGTGAGTTGTAAAAAAAACCCAGATGAAGAGGGCAAGTGCCACCTGAGTAGCAGAATTTAACTGGGAGCTTCCTGGGCCGACCCACTGCACAACTGTAGTGTTATCTACTGAGATACTAGTCCATTCACTTGAGAGTATCCCAGTTAGAGAGACTGAACACACACCAAACACTGCTTTCAGATCATTTGGGACTGTTACAATATAGATTCAAACAGAGAAAATTCTATGAGATGGAATGAGTAACCCCTAGGGACTAAATACTAAACATAGTATGATACAGAAATGGCTGTATCTGGAAAACTACAAGGAGTGCTATCAAATGATTGACCTACACTGTGCACAATGATGTATTTGACACAAACGTTTGAATTGAGGGAGAAGGATTTTAAGAATTTGTATTAAGGTAAGTGAACTAAAAAAATAAGTATTTTTTGTCCTAAAACATATCTGGAGGGGATCTTTAACCAAGACCACCCTAGTTTGTGCCAAATGCTGTTAATTGAATAATCTGTTAATGTCCACATTTTAGATTTTGGGGTGAACTGTCCCTTTAAGGCATCACGCTCATTTTAAAAAAAGAAAAAGAATAGCAATGCAGTATATAGTAGACTCACGTATAGTCAGTGGTTTATGTGTGTGTCTCATGGAGGCCCTGATGATGTCGGAGCCGTGGATGCGGTCCTGATGGCGAAGCTGCTTGGTCTCGTAGAACCATTCACCAGTCATGTACCTCAGCTGGCCCCTGTCACTCGCAGTCTTCTGTAGGTTCCTGAATGTAGACACACAAATGGGAAATGTTTATGCACTTCTCTATTATTCAAAACATTAAAGCTGCGGTAGGTAACCGTTATAGAAATAGATTTGTCATTTTGTCATATTCGTGGAAACTTTCACTATATCCTGACAGTAGTACATGAGACAGATAATCTCTGAAAAAAATCAGGTTCCTCTGGCCTCCTAGTGCTTTTGCAAGAATCCACTGGGTCCCAAAGAAAACAACCAATCAGAGCCAAGAAAGAATTGTTGAATCTCATTCCCAGGACATCAAATACAGACACTTTGGTACCTTGAGAATGAGAGTCAATCACTCAAACGACAAACAATCAACTATCTTCATATCTTTATAAATGTTATATACTGCTACTTTTTTGCAAAAAAAAAGTCTGGTCTATGACAGGTCAAACTTAGAGAGGGAACTCACTCGACACGCTGCTCCTCAGCCTTCTTCAGCTCAGCATCTCTTCTCAGCACAGCCAGGATGGTCTCCTGCTCCTCCTCCGTCAGAAAACTCAGATCAATCATGGTGACTGCTGCGTCCTCGACTTTCCACTGCTCTGACTTTGTGTCTAGCGGTTGAACATGATCAACGCTTCACACAGTTCTTCATGAAACTCCCAGCGGCCTTGTTCTGTTTGCACAAGTTAAGTTAGTGTCAAGTTAGTGTCAGCCGTTTACACAAGCTGGCTGATCTGTGCTTTATCTATCGTATGAAATGATTGGACTGAGACAGTGATTAAGGCGCTCCTTGTTACTCTTCTGCAGCTTTGCTGGTTTTGGATAGGTTTTGTTTCAGCTGGGCTTGTTTTCTGCAGCCATGATTGAAACTTTCTAGACCAGTTTGAATCTGAAAGAAAATAGCAGAAATCAAGGAGGAATTCTATCTGAGATTCACATTAGAATCCGAGAGAGTCTGTTTGAAAATGTCAGCTTTGGATTCGAGAAATTGCGACGGGCATTTGTCACCATTTCAAGTGATTTATTGAAAGAAGGAATTAGCTGATTAACCAGTAATGAAAAACCCTAATTGGGAGCAGTTTAATAAACCTCACAGATGAAAATGCAACACTGACAGCTTTCGTATATTTAGTAGTTTTTAAATATGATGATATTAAACCATATGGTGCTGTTTTTAAGTTCTTTTGTTTGAGATCAGAATAGACTTTTTAAAGCCCACTTTACTTTGCTAGATTGAGTGAACACAAGTTAAATTCAGTATATAAGTATATCCATTAACTTCCCTGTCAGGGTCTTGTAGCTGACTATCTTCCTGGTTAAAGACTGATCTGCTGCATCACAGCAGCCCAAGAAGATGAGGCTTGATAATTGGACTGTGCCATTCTGCTACAGCCAGAGGGGTATTCTCTTCATTTATGACCACACCTTTTTAGGATGAGTATTGCTCTTCTCTCTCCTGCAATTTACTGTGGACTGGCCAGCATGGATGAAATAATCCTGCAGTGACTTCTTAGTCAGAGAAGCATCCACTATATTGCTTCAACTAAGCTCTGTGTTTAACAAAATATCTGTTCTTTCTACTCCTTACATTTTCAAAACAGGCTCCTTTAGTTTAAATGCATTTGAGAGGAATGATTGATTATTATTATTTTTCTGCATCGTTGAATGCCTTCTCAACTTCAAGACCAGTGCGTATCACGTACAATGAATGTAACATGATGAAAACAACATAAAAGAGGTAATGACTGAGAAAAGACTGAGCTGTATGAAGCCAAGAATAACATGTGAGGAAAAAAAAGTTTTCTTTAGCACCTGGATGCTTTGTTGTTAAAATGTGAAATAAAAATCTGCCTGTGGAGGCCTTCCTGTCAAGTCCTACTAGAAGTCCCAGGGCAGATCAAGGACACACTTAAGGGATTATACATCGCACCTGGCCTAGGAATGCCTTTGGGATCCCAGGAGGAGCTGGAGGAAATAACTAGGGAGATACATCCTTGCTTAGCCTGTTAGCACTGTGACCTGGACAATGAATGTGCCTCGCCTTTACAAAGAAAAATGTTGAACATGCTGCTTCTCTAAAAGGGTACAAGCCCAGCTAAAAGATAGAAGATTTATTTCCTTGTTGTGGCAGATCCTCATCACTGCCAGACATCCTTGAAGATTTTAAATCATTGATACATTGATAATGCGACACTGACAGCTTTCACATACCAGGTGCTTCTTAAATATGAAGATATTAAAAAGGACCTCTGTGTAGGATTTGGTGGCATCTAGGGTGTAGTTGCTGATTGCAACCCCCTCTTTGAAGCATATAGGAGAAACTATGAGGGCCGCGAAACAAATGTTTGGTTTGTCCGTTCTGGGTTATTGTATAAACATGGAGGTTCAATATGGCTGACTCCGCCACAAAAACACAATAATTCTTATTTTCAGGTGATTACACACTAATGGAAACATTCCCTACCCTCCTTTTGTCCTTAAAACAAAAGGTCTATCTCTGTAGACACTTAAATAAGAATAACAATCTGAGCCCGTCAGTGGCAAAAACAAGCACTTTTAGTGGATGTACTTTGACGGGTGCATTTGTCCCCAAGGATTAGCTTTAGTTTTGTGGCTATTTTCATCTAGCTCAGTGAATTTAGGATTAATTTACACCAAACCAGTATAGTTGATTGTCGGAACAGTGGAAAAACAAATAAAGAGAGGTTTTAGTGAGATATATTTTGTTCCTGTTGAGTTCGATTGATGTGTGTTTTATGATCTGTTGGAGTGATTTTATTAGTCTGGTCAGCTGCAGTGTGATTGCTCATGTTTTGGTCTGAGATGCTGGAGATAGTGGGACATCTAGTCTGAAAATCATATACAGCATGCATAAATATGAAGATTTTAAAATATACTAATTGTGTGTCTTGATATGCAGTGGCAAAAACTTTACCTGATGAAATCTTTTTCGATCATTCTGTCCGCGGTAAAAGCATGTATAGACGCACCCTATTAGTGTACACAGCATCAGTTTAGGGCTTGATATGCAAGTCAGCAAATCAGCTTGGTGGAACAAGCCTCTTTGTCTCGACATGTAATACTCATACGCTGTTCCCACTTGAAACACTCCTTTCTTTCTCACTCCTTCCTCCTACTGACTAATGCTGTCCGTCATTCTTCTGTCTGCCACACAAACACAAACACACCGTATCTATCAGAGACTCTATCAGTGTATGTGACAAAGATACACACGTCTGTCTGATAGAAGGAGAAATAATTCTGTTGATGATTGTGAACCGTAGTCGAGCCAACAGTGAAATGAGGTGAATGATATAGATTTTCTTTCTTTTCTTTTCTCTTTTTTACTGAGATTACAGCTTCAGGTTCTTTATCGCAGCAAAATCTTTTTGAGGAATGTCTGCATGTTCCAACAATGTCCATATTCACCCTCATCCACTGTGGGAATTTGTAGGAAAGTTCACTTGATTTGGTTTGATGCTATTGAACATAAGCCAAATGCTCTCACCAAAGAACCTGCCATTCAGCTGCTCTGGAGGAAGTAGTAGTTATGTAACTGTGACTTTGTTTTAGAAATAGAAACAGGCTCCCATTGTTTATTCATTATCCAAGTGAGGAAAGTTGAAATCTCGTCTTAATCTCGACTAGAAAAACTGCTTTTCCTGCATAAGGTTCTTTTTTTCTGTACAAGGAAGAATGCTGCATGTCCTGCTTCTCTAAAAGTCTGAAGAATAGAAGACTAATTTCCTTGTTGTAGTAGCTGCAGTGATTTGACTTATTTCCTCATTGCTGCCAGACTTCCTTGAGAAAACTAAAGGGATTTAAGAAGCTAATTTATTCTGTAAAAGTGAGATTTTGACCTGGAAGTGACCTCAAATGAACTCTCTGCCTCCCCTGTCTCTGTAGCTCCAGCTTTCAGATCTTCAAAGGTGGAGTACTGGCACAAATCTTTGCTTGCTGTCTTTTGCACTGACTGAAAGCAAAGAACAGTGATCTAAGAATTGTGACCACACTAGCAGACCTCAACCACTTAGGCCAGTTAATCTCCAGCACTTTCTGCTGCAGTTTGTACAATAAGTATTCATTAACGTAAAATAAAAAAAATATCGATTCATTCTTCAGCAATCCCTATCTGGGTAAGAAAACATACATGCAGACGTCTGGTTAATATTTATCAGACTTTTAAAAGAGCTTTAACTACAGTAGAAAATCAATGTTTTTGTTGTATTGTTTATGCTCTGAATCTAACTTTATCAAACAGAAAGAGGGCTGCAGTTCATACCATGTTCAGATTTACTGTCAACACAGGGCACTGGGGATCGATCTGAATCAAATTTCATATTGGTTGTTAGGCTGCCATATCTAGAAAATAGAAAACTGAAGAAATAAAATCTGGCAGTTGAAAGGCTATTTCAGTTGTTTACAGATCAAAATCACCACATTCCTATTTGGAGTTTTAACATGACTTTGGTAAACTGAGTTCATATAATAACCTTACAGTAACATTTGCACTCTGCTCCCAGGGATCAGAAAGTAATGATTTGTCCCTGTGTTGAGACTTTCACTGAACATGCCTCCCAAACTGCACTGCAGCTCTTCATCTTCACAGAACAGCAGCACACAGAGGAAAGTATATCATTTACAGAAAAGACAGCAAGTGTAAAGTCAGAAAGCAGTCAGCTCACCTCTCACTGTTGCTCCTCGCTGAGTGAAGACTCAACTGCAGCTGTGGCTCCTGAGCTGCTGCAGATGGGTGGAGCTGCAGACACACAGCAGCAGGTATGCCTCCAGCACACACATATTGGTATATACTGGACCTCATGCAGCAACATTCTCTTCAGTTTCTCTAATATTTTTCTGTTAAGAGAGACGATAAGAGAAGTCAGTTCCAGGTGAACCAAAAAAACATCCAAATCTGCTCTTACCTAGGTGTACTGAATGACAAATCCCACTGGATCTTAAATTGCAGGCGTGTGGCCTATTGTTTGTTATTAACGTAGGTGACGCCCCCTAAACACCATATAAGGGCAGGTGGTGTGCAAACACTCAGGCACATGGAGAGATGCCACTAAAAGAGGTTATAGATAGATAGAGATGATTCCCTAGTGTCAGCAATACAACTCAGTGTGATCAGAAAATCCAGCTGTAAACCCTCACATGTAACCAATTTCAACCTGCAGTAATTGTTTTTTTTTATTTTGTTTGTCTACTTGGGGGCAGCAGAAACAAATTGTGAACACTGACACCTTTTAGGTTGAACTGGTTACCAAACAGTTGCTTATTTACACATCAAGCATCCAGATAGATAGTTAAAGCTAGAAGAGACTAAAAACAAATAACAGATGAATTAAAATAGCAGAGAATAACACAAAATCTTAGCATACTCCATATTTAATCATATATGAGCAGAGGGACGCACAGTAACAATAGTAATGGACCTGTACTCATATGGTGCCTTTCTAGTCTTATGACCACTGAAAGCGCTTTTACACTACAGCCACATTCACACAGTGATGGCAAACAGGGGTGCCCCCAGAAATGTTTCATAGGGGTGGCCAGACAAGGGTCACTGGACATCCTGGGGTGGCACACCAAAACCAAAAGCCATAGCTGTTGTACTATAGACCCTAGTATTGCAGGCCTGTCTCATACAATAGAACTCCAAATCATCATAATAACAATAACAATAACAATAATAATAATAATAATAATAATAATAATAATAATAAAACTTTATTTATCATACATGAAATGCAGCTCAAAGTGCTTCACAGTGTGGCATTAAAAACAAAACACAATAAATAAAATATAAAAAGTGTCAAATCAGATAAAAACCATACATACATCTCACATGATTAAATAAAAAAGATAATGAAATAGATTAAAAACATTAACTACAAGCCTTCATTTTTTATTCTTTCAATGAGAATGAAGCCAGTGTCATCACATTATAACAGATAACAGAAGACTAGATTAGAAAAGAGCAGAAGACCATATAGTATAAAGGCCATAATCAATATGTTTGCCCTAATATTGTATCAAATGAAAATATGACAAAGTGAAAGGAGTCGCTCGTTGTGAGAGACCTACAGAGAATTATCAGCAGCCTATAGTGAGTTTGAGCTCATTGTTTATCGGTATCTTTCTGGACACAACTGTACTGTTTTGGTTGATTCCCAGCACTCTCATAGCATCGTTTTCACAGGGGTGGATCTAGAGAAGAGGGTGGCATGGAGACATGCAGAAATATATGCTTATTTAATCACAATCAATCACATGTATCAATATTTGCTTGAACTGTAAGACATTCCATTATTAATGTATGATACATGATTTTTTCTTCTATGAACTCAGACCTATCAGAGTCTAAAATGTGGCCATAACAGATACTTAATTTCTGTTTTGTTAACACCGAAAATGTATCTAAATTAAAGTGACAATAATAATAATTAATCATTTGACAGCATTTGACACCAAACTGGGGTGGCAGCTGGGGTGTGGTTAGGTGTGGTGGCTACCACCCACTGTCACCCCTGTGCTTTCAAAACATTTTTGAAAAGCTCTATGAACCCACTGTACACTAATGTAGACTATGTGCACATAGTGGAGCATTTAGCAGCTGCAGAGCCTGGTATTTCCCTCAGGAGTTGGTGGAGACCAAAAACAGCTTAAAGAGAATGAATGTTGGAATGACACAAACACAACTCCGTAACTGCTGGGTGTGTAAATGAACAACTCTTTGCCAACAACTTCGCAATATCAGCTAAAAAGGTGATCTGTCAATGTTGTGTTCACACCTTGTTTCTACTGCCAACTGATTCCGTCCTGTTGACCACAAATTCAATTCAATTAATCAATTAACAAATAAACAGCAGAGACCAACAACACAGGTCATACACAACATAAAACCACATATCACAGCTCTCCGTTCAGCTGTACCTGTACACCACAAGGTGGCAGAAGAGCTCCATGCTTTACTTGTCCACAGTCTGACCATCTAACCTGCACGGACGGCTGGATTGGTTGTGATTCATATGACATGATATTTTCCAGGATTCAACATAACCAATCCATCAGTCTATTACAATAAAATCACAAAGTATGTAACTTTACTACCTGGAAGAAGCTGAAAGACTGGCAACAATTCTCAAGATATTTTACTGACACTACAGGAGGTACATTCACACAGTTCGAAGATAGATTTCTTTGTACTTACTGCTGTGTGTTTTTAAGAAACTAATATCATTTCTCAATTATTGCCACAGAGCATCTGGAAGGGGCTGGACCAAGTGGCTTCTGCGCCTCAGGACCTTTGGGTGCTGCTTAACAGAAGGAGAAGGAAAAAGATTATTTTTTGCTAAGTTAAAACTGGAACTTTCTTGCTTTCATTATCTCATAATCATGTTTACAAGCATGTTCCTGACAGTGGTTTTCAGCACATTCACTGTTCAATGCCTGCTGAAATATCTGCATACCTTTGTTATCAGAAATTAGTTTTCAGTTTCCCTGAGAATCTTAATCTAGAGGAAACAGTCTTTAACCAAAGACTGATGTACTGTTTCTTCTCCATCCATCTCATCTTTGGAAAGGAAGGAATAGTTAAGTAAGGTTAACTGTCTGAAGATAGCTGTGAAAAGGAAGGCCCCAACTCAACAGTGAGGCTTCTATTAACCCGCCAGTTAATTCTATCATGAAAGTAGCGCTAACACACACACGCATCTTTCTGCTGCTGCATCCAAAATAAGGGGAAGTGGCAGCACAACAAAGAGTCTTCTTATTGCTGCTGGAGAGGCTTTGCCAAGCAGGATGTAGCTTTTATATTGAGCTCCTTCTGTGTATGTGTGTGTTGCACATGGATGAGCTACTGCACCTGTGGGTTCAGCAGCATAGGCCTCCATAATGATGAAGGGTGGGACTCCTCACCACTTGTATCACCCTGTTGCCTGCTTTGTATAAATTCAACGCCCAGTGATTCCTGAATGTTGCTGGGAGATGCTAACTGTAAACAGAGAGCCCGCTTTAAACAGGGGGTGTTAAATCTGTAGTAGGTCTTTTTTTTTTTTTTTTTTTTTTTAGAATACTTGCTTTTTTGTCATATTTGCTGAAACTTTCACTATATCCTGACAGTAGCACATGAGACAGATAATCTGTGAAAAAATCTGGTTGCTCTGGCTTGTTGTAGCGCTCCCAGTGGTATTTGTACGAATCCATTGGGCCTGAACGAAAACAACCAATCAGAGCTGAGAAAGATAGTTGACTGTTGAGTCTCATTCCCAGGTTTCAAATACAGATGTTTTGGAACACTGATTTTTTCACAGATTATCTGTCTCATGTACTGCTGTCAGAATATAGTGAAAGTCAAAACTAACAAAAATGTGCTTTAGATTGGATTATGGGCAGTGTTGGGCAAGTTACTTTTAAAAAGTAATTAGTTACAGTTACTAGTTACCTCTTCCAAAAAGTCAGTTACAAATTATAAAAGTAACTAGTTACTTTAGAAAGTAACTATTGCGTTACTTTCAAGTCAATTTTTAAATGCTCAAATGTGACCCCACCTCCACCCCTCTTTAACGGAACTTAAAATACATGTGCATGTTCAATTATTTATGATAAATCTGAATATTATAATGAGATGGACACTTAATACAATCCATTATTAACAGAAACAATGTACACAAATCTAAACTATTTTAATGTTGCTGTGGGACAAAGTGAGACTAGCCTCCAATCAAATGCCATGTATGTAGATATTATGTTCATATAGTGGATCCATACAAATAACACAATAGATGTTTTGGAACTTTTGATATTTATTGTCCCTCAACAGGCCACAACTGGGCAAAATTAAATTATGCTTGTTAACGGTATACCAAAAATAAATAACAAATCTATACACTCTTTGTAGTGCAAATAAAACAAAACAAAACTTCAGACAATTGGTAGATATACTGTACTTCAAGTATTTTCTTCCCTGAAAAAGAAGTGGAACAATATGAGGTGTTTTCAATCTAACTGAAAAGTACAATGTATAGCAAAACTAAGGAATCCAAATATAAACAGGTAATACATAAGAAATAAAAAATACATCTCCATAAAAATAAAAATGGCCATTGACAATCTCACTTCAAGAGGCTGCAGCCAGCCAACAAATAAATCTAAATGAAATGATGCTCTTTAAGCAATGTACCAAAAATGTATTCAAACAATATATACACTCTTTTTAGTGCAAATGTAATAAGATGCAGCACAACTCGCCATACCTGTCTCTTGTTGACTGACTCGCTTGTGTTGTTCGTTGTGTGTCGGACTATGTGTGCTTTCGAACACCAGCCCAACTCTACCTCTGATTGGCTTACCATGAAATTTTACTCAACCTCAGCCAATCGTCAGCATTTATGTGCTTGTCTTGTGCACTGCCCACTAACCAAGGAGGAACAGTAAAAAAAAGATCTAGTTGGTCTGATTAAAAAAAACAGCTTCAATTATAGTAACGCGCCGCATTGTTTGGCAGTAACGGTAACGGCGTTATTAAGATGGGAAGAGTAATCAATTAGATTACTCGTTACTGAAAAAAGTAACGCCGTTAGTAACGCCGTTATTTATAACGCCGTTATTCCCATCACTGCTTATGGGAAATGTAGGAAGTCAGGATATAACAATCTTTCTTTCTAAAATCTGTCTCTCACAACTTCCCAGCATAATGGAAGTGCAATGGGCAGCTGTGGCTTAGAGGAAGAGCGGGTGGTCCTCTAATCGGAAGGTGGTTGGTTCGATCCCCTGCCACCCCATCACGAAGAATCCTTGAGGAAGATGAGTTAGTTTCTGTTCGATGGACTTTACCATCTGAGTGAATGTGTGTGAAAGGGTGAATGTGGCACGTAGTGTAAAAGTGCTTTGGGTGGTCAGAAGACTAGAAAGGCGCTATACAAGTACAGGTCCATTTACCAATCCTTTATCATTGGAGCAGCTTTGTAAGGGCTATTTTTATTTGAGTTCAGAATGCATTTCTGTTTATATAGTGTCTGCAGGTTGTAATGTAGTCAGATGGTCTAAGTCCTTCTGAGTTCTCCTTCATATCTTTTCACACTTTTTTGACATCATGACATCAAGGAGAAGTATTTAGGAAATGACATCTGATGTCCTTTCTTTGACTGTTGGACTGCAGCCGTGGAGTTAAAACATGTCTGTGATATCATGTGAACACCAAAAGCAGGAATTTTTCGATTTAGACATTCTGATGTCTATATAATAAAACAATTGATGAAACATTTTCCCCTATCACTGACCTCCCCTCAGAGACATTTAAAGGACCTGTCCTATCTTCTAAGTTCATGAGCCTATGCTTCATGAAGATGTCTCATATCTACGGAGTCTAAGTATGAGACATAAAATCTGTGGAATTCTCTTCCTCGTGCATTTGTAAAAATCCACCGGGCCTGAACGAAAACAACCAATCAGAGCCAAGACAGATATAAAGATACTTTGGGTTGGATGCTTGAATATAGTTGACGGTTGAGTCTCAGTATACTAGACACAGTATAGTATAGTAATATCTTTCTTGGCTCTGATGGTTGTTTTCGTTCAGGCCTGTTTTATAGTTTAATAAAAATGACCAACTGCAGCTTTAAACCACATATTACCATTCAGTGCACAAAACCTTTTTTCTTTCCAGCTGATATTGGGCAAGAAGTGGGGTACACCCTGGATGGGTCACCAGTTCATAACAGGGCTGATATACAGAGACAAACAACCATTCATGGTCACTCTCATACCTACGAGAGTTTAGTCACCAATTAACCGTTTTTCCTGCAGGTCTTCGCTCTACAGGAGGAAGCACGCAGGAGAAACCCATGCACACACAGGGAGAATATGCAAAAGCCACAGGCATGAAAACGGGTCAGGGGTAAAAAAGGTGAGAAGGATATTACCTCTGTCCGGGGGTCCGGGGCCATGTTCCCCTGGAAGAAAGTTTTGAATATTCCATATTTTAAAGCATCAATCTGATTCATTTTGAGATGCATCTTTTGCCAACCTGGGGAGAGCTGGAGAAACTTAACTTCAGCCATGAGTCAAAAATATTATGTCCTCCTCACTGAGTATTAACCATTGTCAGCCAGCCTGTCACTGGGGCTAACATTTACAGTATGAGGCACAATGTGGCTTAATGCATAACCCCCACAAGAGATGGTGGACCTGCTGTAACTTAACTTGTCTACTCTTCATCATGATTGACAGCCAATACAATGTTATGTCATTCAGATTTTAATACATTTTATTATTTCTTTTTTGTGATTTACCATTAGCTATACAAGCTAGCAGCTAACTTTAGTAACAATATCTAGCTAATGTTAGGCTAACGTTAACGCTAGCGTTAGCTAATCATTTTCCACCGGAGCTTTAGCTAGGTGGCCATTCGTCCGGCTTTTAAACCCCGTCCAGCGGACACTCGTTTGTCCTCCTTTTGAGAAAATAACTAAAAAGGTCGCCTTTTGACACATTACTGTATGATGTTTATTAGACCTATGTAATCTGAATTGGAAGGGCACGTTAGCTATTATATTTATTATTAGCTATGTGGTATGTGTATGCACCTTTATGTAATCTGCTGGAAAAACATTAAAATTTAAAACCGGATCATACCAAACAAATATCTGCTTGCGTGTCCCCGTGTATGCAAAGTGTCCTCCTTTTTGATGTGAAGGAAATGGCCACCCTAGCTTTAGCTGGCTAACGTTGCGTTCTCTCCTGCTGTGTTCAATGACTCAGTTCATCAAGCTGTAGCTAACGTTAGCTAAGCCTATGTCAACAGAGCCCCTGGGTAACTCTTAGATATAGCAGAAAATATTAAAACACGAGTGAAGCGAACTGCTTGTAAACCAATCAGATAATGGTATTCCCCGACCCCACAGAAAGAAACTGGTGATGCAAGGCCCTTCGCGCCATTTCCATGCACTCGCGCTCCCTTCTGGCACCTGTTCGCAATCTGTCCAACCTCTGGTACTTACACCCCCCCCCCCCCCCAAGGTGAGCGATTTTCATGTATGAAATACACATGGAGCTGAAGAAGTGTGGAAGCTTGCACTTTATTGGAAAAATCAAACAAACAAAAATATAATCTGCAGGGACGATGCAGAAAATATGCTCAGTTAATGAATTAAGGGCCGCTTTTATGTTCAGACCATCTTTCATACCTGCACCCACCCATTCCTGTGACTGGCAGGATTAGTTTTATATACACAAAACACCGATCAACAGTGCTCCATTCTCCTGCACAACTAGACTCCCCCGCCCACCCCGACCCCTATGTTACCGGTCTGACCTGAACCTACACCCGATGCCTCCTCCCTGTGCCCCCACCCCCTTCCATGTGCTCGCCTAAGGAAACATGATCTGAGCATGAAAGGGACCCCCGCACATTCACGTTGGCGAAGGGCAGCCAGCAGCTTTGTTAAATGTAAGAATAAATGGCATGCCAGAAGCGTCAGAAGCATAAATGCAGATTCCTTTCCAATGCAATGCCGCCTCAATCACAAAATGTAGTGCTTTTTTTTTGCTGATGTGAAAAATGTTCCTGCTCCAAATTCACAGAAATCGACCCCTGCCTATTTGTTATGAATTATTACGTTCACACACATCCTCAGTGTGACCCCCCCCCCCAGAGCCACAGCTAACAGCACAAGGCATCATCCGAGTACAGAGAATATTTAGTGCCCCAACAGCAAAACGTGTCATCTCTTTAAACTTTATATTAACTTTTTTTTTAAAAATCATCTCAATCACTCAAAATCCAATTCTACAATCAATCATACCTATGTATAAACCTGAAGACCTTCCGCAATGAGTAGGCCAGTGACTAGTTACATTTCTTTTTAAATGTCATCCTCTGTAGGTAATCATAAATAAATACAAACAATACACAAGGAATGTCTACTGCAAACAATACGTAAAAAATAAAGAAAACAAAAGTGTAGTATGAAGAAGTGTTTGCAAATGTTTTCCTAATCTGGGGATGCTTTAAGACGGTAATTGTGATTGATAATGAAAAAGAAGTGACTCTCACAGCCTCACCTGGAGAAAGAGGAACAAAAAAAAACAATGACAACAACCCAGGTACATAAACAGTGATGTTAGAAAGCTCTCCCATCGGGTTGCTGTGTTTCTCTTAGTCCAGGTTACAGTAGGGGCTGATCCCCATCCACGTGATTGTAGAATGGCAGCACGCACTCTTCTCCTTCTATGACCTAGACATGACTAGACGGGCACAATGTCCACTGTGATGCCTATCAGAGGTTGCCGAAGCGGCTCCCGGTCGCCGTGATTTTATTCAACAAGTCTTATTTGGGCCTTTCGTTCTCAGAGAGAGGTGAGTTCGTTAGGAGCAAACTGCAGGTTTGCTTGGATAGCTGACTTTGTCGTGAATCGTCTTCAAACGGGAAAGACTCTCCCTGGTCCCGCAGGTTACATAAACTGCATCTGGAAAGATGAAAAAAAAACTGTCAGCTTTTTTGTTGGAACATGGAAAAAAGTTGTAGAGCCAGTAATGTGTCTACAATCTAACAATAAATACATCAGGTAAAGTGCTCCACCAAGGCAAAATAAAGATGGTTTGTGAAGCTTGCATTGTAAAAAAGAGCTACTATTTCTCAGATCCCCAGTGATATTCATCCTGTGAGCCTTGGGCTGCGTTCTAATAGCCATTTTTGTCCAGGAAGCTTCCTAAAGGAGGGAAGTATTTCAGTAGCAGCCAAGAAAAGAGCTGTTTGAATTCTCTACATCCTAAGAAAGATGCTTCAATGCTTCCTTTCCTATCTCCTTTGGCATAGGATACACTGGAGCACCCTTTACCAAAGGAAAGGAGATAATGCCATCCCACAGTTCCATGCAACATTTAAACTAATGAAGTTGTATTTTATCTCACAGAAAAATGTGTGACTGGCACCAAAATCAGATGTTTAACTGCCAGTGCGGCTCAAACAATGTGTAGTTAAACATGCGCTCTGTTGACACACTCGGGACCTGAAGTTGCAATTAAGCACACACACGCACAGAGGATGAGCTGTACCTAAAAGATGCTCTATAAGAAATTCTGTAGAAATAACTGCGAAGGCGTCCTTCCGTGGTGCAGGGCTGAGACTAGAATGACTACATGTTGCGGGTGATTGAGTCACAGAGGACGCAGGAGAGGATGAAAGCAGAACAGGAGAGGAACTCCAGAGAAAAAGACACTACAGGTGTCTGATCAGAAAATAAACCTAGCCCCCTGCTGGCCATTAGAGACTGCATGCACACTTCTGTGTTGGCTTCACGCTGAGCAAGCCTCAGAAAGAACATCAGATGACTTTTTTTTTATTGGAAAACTATACACAGTCAGCTGACAGCTCAGCTGATTCCCTCAAGCATCCAGTTGGCAAATATCATTTATGGCGCCTTATTTAAGCTGCTTTAGCCTGCCTATCTTTGCTGGAAGTTGATGATTTCTCCACATTGCTATGTCCGATTGTCACCAAACTTCGGTCCATAGTTACTCATGTCCTTTTTGGCATCGTGCACAATTTCAGGTCATCGCCACTAGGTGGCGCTCTTTAAAATGAAGAAGTTTATATCTCTGCAACAGCACGTGTGATTAAAATGAAACTTGGTACGATGCTTGCCCATGGCTCCCTGAGGCTCACTTTAAAAGGACAAAAAAAATCCGCCACTAGATGGCACTCTGGTGGCATGGTAAATAATCATAGTTATAAATATGAAATTCACAGGGTACGTGTAGACTGGTGCCTGAAGCTCACATACCAAAAATCGTGTTTGTAGCGCCCCCTACAGGATAAAAAAAAAAAAAAAGCAGCCCCAGCACCACGTTTCACCGATATGTTTGACACTTGGTTGGCACGTGTAACATGCTGCGACGTACAAAAAAACCTCTTGGACCCATACCCGAAACCCCACGGGAAGTTGGCCATTTTGATTTTCATTTTCACTTTCCGTGAAATTTTCGCGTTGTATTTGAACGAACTCCTCCTAGGGAATTCATCGGATCTACTTCAAAATTGGTCAGTACAGATAGAAAATGTTGCTGATTAAAAGTTGTGCTATTTGTGCATGTACGTTAAAGGGCGTGTCCGTGTCAGTCAGCCAGTTTTGACCTTTTTTTGTCATTTTCTGTGATTTTTCGTGTTGTATTTGAACAAACTCTTCCTAGGGAATTCATCTGCTCTGCTTCAAAATTGATCATTATAGTCAGTATGTTGCTGATTAAAAGTTGTGTTATTTGTGCACGTACATTAAAAGGGTGTGTCCGTGGTGTGCTGTCAAATTTGGCCAGGTTGAATCGTCAAGCATTCATGTCATTTCCGCCATTTCGCAGTGATTTTCAATGTGTATTAGTGTTGTAGTTCAACAAACTCCTACAAGGGAATTTATCGGATTAACGTCAAAATTGGTCAGTACATTTAAAAAACATTGCTGATCAAAAGTTGTACTATTTTTGACTGTGTCGAATTCCACTGATATGCCATCAAACAAATAGTACTCATATCTTCAGTGTACAGTCCCACCCTGAACACGTCCTCATAACTTCAGCGTACGTGGTCCAATCTCAATGAAACTTCACGTGTTTGATAACAGTCCCACCCTGAACACGTCTGAATGACAATATTCAGACATAGTGATCGCGCCACCTACTGGCAACAGGGAGTAAGCGCTGGGTGGCGATTTTCAGCTGATTTACGTGAAATTTTCATGTTATGGTCCGCACGTGTTACGAGGGCACGTGACGCAGCACGCCCCGAGTTGCTAGGAGTGCGAGGTCCTGCCCAACGCTTTAATTAATCAATGTCATTTTCTGATTGCCACTGATGCTTGCTCTGTTCGGAACCCGGGGGGGTGGGGGTTCTCTGCTGCCGCTCTCCTTGCCTTAAACTTTTCCATGTATGCACATGGAAGGGCAGGGAGGTGTGCTCTCCCTGCCTTAAGGTTTTCCATGTAGGCACGTGGAAGGGCAAGGAGGTCCCAGAACAGAGCCATACCGCTAAATATAACATTCTGCTTCTGGATGTAAGTGTCTTTTGACAAAAGTGATCCTGACTGAACTTAAGTTAGCTAATGTTAGAAAACACTAGCTAATCTACATCACTCATTAACTATTGAATTACAGTAAAAACGCTTATATCGTATATGATGCATCAACCTTTTGTTGAATTTGCCATTTCCAGTGAGTACAACATATTTCTCACAGAAAAACTGCCAGCACACTTTGGATACATGCAGCTGTATTTAAAGCACAAACCCTTTCACAACTTTCATTTAACCTCATAAAATGACATTCCTCGACTTCTCCTGAGAATGTACACCAAACTCAGTAAAACCTCTATGCTAAACTAGGAGACTGGGAGAACAGTGGAAGTGGACCATCAGAGCTGAAGTGACTAGCACATAAAGGTTTATCTTGTTCAAACAGGCTGGGTCACTGAGCCCAGGCGTGTAAGGAGTGGGACATTGCAGACTGTAGACATCCTTTACCTGTGCACCTGGATTGGGGCCGAAGGGGTTGGCTGGCCTCATCACAGGCTGGGTGTACATCATAGTGGGCTGTGTCATCATCATGGAGCCCATGTGAGGAGGCTGATGGAGGAGAAAATAAAACACAGCATGAATAAATTACATTGCCTCAAACAAAACAAGCCCTCCAAAATAAGGTTTGGGGCAGTGTTAAATTAGTTAAATATGACAAAAAATGTTTTGACAATGACATTCTTCCATGACTAAGACGAGACTTTGACAAGCTAAAATTAGCTTAGTGGGCAGACAGTAGTGGGAAGATCTAGGCTAAATAAACTGTTCCAAAATATGTATTTTTTATTGAACAGCAGAAAACAAGTAACCCTTCATTAAAGGTCTGTCTGTCTGTCTGTCTCTCTCTCTCTCTCTCATCATAAGTTAAAGCACATTATTCTACCGACTAATCCACATATAAGAAAATCTTCTACTTCCATTCTTGCAGTGTCTGTATGTATGTGTGCATGTGTGTCAGGAAGAAATCTTGCTGAACACACAGTCCCAGCTGACTTACCATTGCATATGCCATCATGCCCGTCGGTGTGGTTGCAGGGAAGGCCATGACAGATGGTGCCTGAGGTGACACATGCACACACAAAAAAACAAAAAAAACAAGATGATTCCTTCTCCAGAATCAGGACACATTTAACTGTTTATTATTAGATCATCACATTTCATTTAGGGTTCAGCGTGTTTAATTACACTAACTAAAATCTACTTAGAAATGTGTCATAAGGTCTTCACATCAAATTTAGTCAATGCCAATTTCATATTCAGCCTCTGTTTATACAGGGTTTTAACAGGTCCAATTTAGCCTGTTTAAGACCTATTTTATGTACATACTGGCAAAAAAGGTAGGTTGGCATGATCAATACACATCCCAAACACACATGTAAAAGTGTGACAAATGCAACTTTATACAAGTAATGTTACCAATTAATCGAACACATTTTTAAGACACAAAAAAGGTTGTAGAATTGTTTCTCTTTAAAAGGTTCACAGCTTGTTCAGACTTTTCACTGCTTCATTCAAAACTCAGTGTACTGTATGCCTGCATATTTTTCATTGTAAATCCAGAATGCAGGTTGAATTGGAGGGTGAAGGAAGAAGATGGCAAGATACGGTCTGTGAGAGGTTGACAGCAGGATTCAGCAATGTGTATATTAAATGGGACATTTTTATTGTCTGATGGGAAATTTGTCTTTGACGTGCCTCACACAGATCAGACTTGTCACAAAGTTTTTCTCATTCAATATGGGAACTTATAAAGAACTTCACAAACCATCATAATTTACCGATATACCCAGTGTTACTGATACCTCATTAGAGGTAGGTGGTCAGCGTTTATTCTATAAGCATCACTGTACATGTATTTATCAACCGCAACAACAAATGTTATCATTGTAGCTGCAGTAGTTAAGTTTTATAGAAATAACTTTGTCAGTATATAGTGAAAGTTTCAGCAAATATGACAGTGTTGTTTTCATTCAGGCCCTGACTCTTGCCAACAGGAGCCAGAGGAACCTGATTTCTTCACAGATTATCTGTGTCCTGTACTACTGTCAGGATGTAGTGAAAGTTTCAGCAAATATAACAAAAATGTATTCTTATAAAAGTTACCAACTGCAGCTTTAATAAGCTGCATGCATTTGGCTATGACCATCTACAGCGTTTATATTGGACTTCTGAGAATTCTGCTCGCAGCTCCAGAAAAAATTAACTTTACTGCAAAAAAGATTGCTGTAAGTCTGTTTCGCTGTGCATCTAGTAAACTGGTTTTGAAGTGTCCTACAGAAGTTTATCCAACCAGCAGTCGAGATTTAATTTCCAGGTGTTTCCAAGACAGGAAAAAAAGTAGCTAAATTTACAGATTTTCCAGGACGTATGGGAACCCTGTGACTGTAAAGAGACGTGCTCTGTACACACTCCAGCAGGTGAGGTACTGGGGGCACCCCTGTTCTTTGGATTGACACAGCTAATGATCGATGTCACATTAAAAAGGTTCCAGACACATTTCATGTGGAAAGAGGCTAAAAAACAGCATTTATGCCAGGAGACACTTGAGAAGGTTTCCAATGATAATGTTTGAACATTTTTTTAAAAAAAAATTTCTATAAAAGGGAAATGACAGACAGAAGTAGAGGAAAGTAAAAAGGAGAGTGTGTCGAGTCCTGAGGGTAGAGGTTGCTTACTGGCAGGTGCAGAGCTCCTTGTGGAAAGAGATTAGAGAGAAGAAAGTACAGACCCCTTTCTCTGAGCACTCCTTGCTCTTCCAACAGCCCCTGCAGTGATAACAAACCCAGATTTGTCTAGCACCCGGCCCTCTCGGGAAGGATACGTTTCATTAACTATTCAGTTATTGGCGAGGGAGGCACAAGTGAGTCAGACGTGACGCTGGTGCCAAAATTGGTGTTTTCATCACAGACTGTGCTTGTTTCATTGAACTGAGAGCCCCCCTTCAGAATTCCTCCTCACTGACACTGTTTGCTTTGTTTCAAGGACGTCTCACTCAGTGTTCCTCACACAGTCAATAATGACAAGATAAGCCTTGTTTTTTGTGTCATGTTAAGGATTATCCTTTACTGGCTGATGGATGTTGTGTGCATCTGCGCCCTCAAGTGACATCAGGGAACACTTACTGGCTTTTGATCATCATCTGACATTTTGCCACATCATCAATAACTTGCTTTCAGCTAAATCACAGAGACTGAGACTACAGTAAGGAGGTGGACTGCATAATTATTGCACAAGCTTATATTACAGAATTATAATTACAGAAGCTCTTTTAAAGCATTTAACCAAAGAGAGACTACAGATTGGACATTTAATACAAAAAACTCCCCAAAACAGGGAAAATGGAGACTGAAGGTAGAGAGAATGACATGAGAAACAGGATATCAGTAAGTGAGTATGTAATTCATTCCTGAGCCTTCTCATTTCTCACTAATTCAATCCTGCTGTAAAGAAATGACCCAGATGAATGCAAGGATATTGAACATTTAGTTCATTTATTTCAACAGTATGACATCACACAAGTCTTGTTCAAAATAAACAAAGTCCGACTGATGGATGGTGTGTGCAATACTTGTGGACATGATGGATGATGTAGAACGTTACTTACAAATTAACCTGCTCCTCTCATGCTTTACGTGGGAACAAACACTAACACTCTCTTAGTACTTTGAGCTCCCACTCAGGGTACAGTCAGCTAACGGGTCCAGGAACTGAGCTTTCTAGCAAATGGTAGATAGTACAGTTGATAGTACAGTTGCTAGTACAGTGCACCAGTAAGTCACTTCCTGTGTTACAAGAAAAAAGGTCCATGTTGCAACAATCCCGATACATTTGTCCCAGCCCTAACGACAAGGAGCAAGCTCCCAAATGGAGTTTGAGGTTTCGCTTTTTCAGCGACAAACCGACCAATGAAAACTCGGTATCTCATTGGGGTGTCCTATCACTTTTTGGATAGTCTAGCAAATCGGTAACGGATAACGGGTCTCCATGGCGACGGCGAGTCGCATTGTTTACACCCGCGACCAGATGATCGCCCTGAGGTACCCTAGCATCCTGACTGGAGAGAGACCCTCCATACCGGAGGAGCTGAGGAGACGGCGAGGCTGCAGAGCAGGGGTTAAACGGAAGATGAAGAAGAGGAGGTTGAAACCCTACAAACGTGGCTACACGAGCAGATACCGGACTCCAACGTCACCATTCCTGGCTTCCCGACAGTTCGAGCCGACAGGGACACCACCGCGACCGGCATGAAGAAAGAACGGGGACTGGCTGTGCTCATAAACAACAGGTGGTGTAACGCCGGGCACGACTGTGTGAAAGAGCGTCTGCAGCCCTGACATCAAGCTTGTCGCCGTTGGACTTTGTCCATGTTATCTGCCACAGGAACTTTCAAGTGTTATCGCCATCACTGTCTGTTTTCCTCACAGTGGTCTTCATCATCACCATCACTGTTTACATTTATGATGTCTCATTTATTCTCCTGTACAGCACTTTGGTCAACTTTGGTTGTTTTTAAAGTGCTTAACAAATAAAGTTCGATTAGATTGGACTGAAAATCAACTACGTGCATTTCAGTGTGATAAATCAATATGCAATTGTGTGAAACAATAAGAGAAACGAGCCAAAGCTCCAGAAAACACTGGAGTTGTCATTTCAACAATAGCACTTCATAAGCAGACAACAAGAGGTTGTGGCTATTATGACACCGGTTAAAGAGATCAAAGGACACCTGGGAGGCAAGAAAGCCCAGTACATACACAATACAGGAAGGCCTGAAGGCCTTCCAGGAAAGCCTTAGTCCCACAATCACTCAACACCTTTCACTGGCAAGGCAGCAAGAAGAAAACTGGCAGGGAAAGCTTGACAGGGCATTTCTTGGCAGACAGAAAATTGAGATTAGATTTTAAATAACAGTAATCTGACGTTGGTTAAAAGCTGTAAGTGGTTCTAAACAAGCCTGTACTGACTAGGTGGTTCACACATGAACTGGGGGCTGGTAATGGCCTGAGCCCATACAGCTGCATGCTGTGACTGCTAGCATGGCCTCTGTGAAGACATTAATATCAACCAGTGCATGCCAGTGTTGGTGCGAGAGCAGGAAAATGCTTAAACCATATAAACAGTAGAGATGGTCTTGCTTGCAATATAAGGTAGGATATAATGCAACAACTTTTGCAACACAGCGAAAGGCAATAAATGAAGAAGGACATGTGTTTAGGTAAGCAGTACAAGAAGTGTGTTTCAATATACAGGTCATATTTTGATTCGGAATACCCAGCATGCTTTGCTACGCATTTGTCTGTGTACACTGTGATTCACGGTATTGAAGCATGTTACTAGGCTGTGTAACTACATTTCCCAGTCATTTTTGGTTTTAGTTTTTCCACTCTGCAACTATTTTGGGAGATTGACAGATCTGAGACAAATTGGTGTGCACTCCCGTGAGGAAGATTGCAATGTATGAACTGAATAAAAAAAATCTATGATGTGTGGTCATGTCACAGACGACCATGCAATGAACTACAGCACACACACACACACACAGAGTTGTGAGTCGGTGTTCAATTCAGTGTGTATCTGATCCACCAACCACAATTTATGTTAGAGAAATCTTGAAATTACTGAAACTGTCTGCCTCTCATTTCAACAGTCTTCTCCCACTGAAAGAGCACAGAAAGAGCTACAACAGAGGCTGAGTAATCAGAGGTGACAAAATGCAAAGTTTGTACAGAATACACTTCATGTTTACGGAAACGTTAGGAATTGTTAAAATGTGATATTTCTTAAAAGGGGGCTTTTGTATGCTGATCCGTATAGTTTTTTAAGGTTTTGTCACCACTACAGAAACATTAGGTAACTGTTAAAGAATGATGATAAGGTTGTCTGACGTTGATTGCTTTTAGTTATTAGTTTGATGAATGCTTTAATAATGTGTGTATTTATTACTGATGCTGGATGATCAGGCTAATTATATATGCTGTATGCTGTAAATGGTGCATGTTTTTAAACTACTTATCTGATTAAACAAGATGCACTTGTTAATGACTCCTGATGAAAAATAGTTAGGAGACCACACTCCTTGTTATAGTGTAAGTTGTAGTGTGTGACTCTTTGTTGCTGATCAGTCACATAGTGTCCAAACGACAACAACTTCAAGACTCCTGATTATAAGACAGAAAGTTGTGTAGTGCGAACAGTACAGAGATCTGACCACTGTGACCGAGGCTTAAAAGCTGCATCCTGCACGTGACTTTATTTAATGACACTAATTGATCTATGTTTGTTGGTTGGGGAATAATACCAGACAGACGTAGACAAGTGATAGTCCTACCATGGTTGCAGGGTTCCAGGTGGTGGAAGGAGCAGTCTTGGGTTGCCAGTTAGTTCCACCTGTTAGCTTCTTCTCACCAGGCTGACTCCAGTGAAGATCACTACAGAGATCAAGTAAAAAATGTTAGTCATTACAGGGTTCCCACTCTGTAAAAAAATTTCCAAGACCTTTCATGATGAAGTGATGTAGGTTCATTACAGGTAGGTGGTCAAATTTATGGACACTACACGTTAGCTTGCATTCGTGCTGTTCTCACCATGGATGATTTTTTTACAGTCTCTGGTGACTTGACTACAGTTTTCCTCTAACCTAGGTTTACGTAGGTGATCTGATTGAGGGGCTAAAATACAATTTGAATTTTCCGGGACAATATAGAATATTTCCAAGATATTTGGTAATTTTAATCAATTTCCAGGTGTTTCCGGGACTGGAAAACAAGTCTTTAAATATCCAGATTTTCAAGGTTTTCCAGGACTCGTGGGAACCTTGCATTAGAATGCAGTATCAGGGACAAGTTAAATATTACTTGAGTTCACTTACTTCTTTGGTGCACCGTTGCCGATTCCCAGATCTTAAGAGGACAGAAGCAAAGTAATGAATGCACAACCACGAAAAACTAAAACTACATATTAAGACATAAAATGTAGAAAAACTTATGTCATTTTACTTTGCTTCAATGTCAAATTTTACACATTTGATATTTATGTAAACTATACTATTCCCGCTTACTGATACTGTTCGGTACAAATTTCACCTCTAATAATCTGATTTTATCAGAATTAGTTCCATTGATTAAATGTTTGGTCATGGTTGCAAAATACAGGCAACTTACTGCCAACAAGATTGGCCAGAGACGAGTCCAGGTCGTTGGACACCAGTTTGTGGGGCTGTTGGCCATTTGGGGTCATATCCTGATTGGGTGAGGATGCCACTGTCGGTTTGAGGATGCCACCTAAAACATCTTAATCAAAAGGGGGTAGGACAAAAAGAAAGGAAGGAAGGGGAGGGGAGGGGAGGGTGAGAGTTGCCGGGGGCCAGGACAGGTGAACACACAATACACCAACAATAACAGAAAGACAAACACACACACGGACAGTACAGAAAGTGCATATACACAGACAGAGAGAGGATGGTGAGTTTGGATGAGGCAGGAAGCAGAAAAAAAAAAACACACACAAAAAAAAAAAAACTTTGTGAGACTGAGAGGAGTGTGTGTTGAGTCAACTCACCCAGTCATGCATATGCCATGCAAAAAGCCAAGGCCCGAGGGAGTGTGGTTAACCCCAGGACAAGGGAAGAGAGAAAAAAAAAAAAAAAGTGAGATTGTGAGCAGCATAGAACCCATTAAGGGTGTGAGAGATTCAAGGTAGTGCTAAATGTAGCAGTTAGAAACATCTAATATTCTTGCCAAATTAATGATGATACATTGGTGTAATACCATACACTAACGAGGCGAAGGGTGAAACAGTCGTTAACCTTAATCACACTCTGGTGGTATTGTTAGTGACAGTGTTTATCAAAATTAAGACTTTATTTCTCTTTCATCACAATATGTGATTTCCTCCAATCTGCCTCAGCAGCACGCAATGTAGACACAGCATAGAAGCCATTACACGCTGCCAGTGTTTCATTTGTTAGTAATTATACCTATGTCTATTTAAAGTTATATTTAAATTTTAAAATACTACATCAACATAATAATATTTCTAAAGCCTACAATTCTACTTCAAAAAACATCTGAAGTGAATAGTTCAAATGTGGGGTTTTTCAGTAGTCAAATACTGTGACATTTAGAGTCCATTGTAAGTTACAATAATCAATAAGCAATAAATAATATGAATGCGAGTCGCAGTCAGTTGAAATGATTTCCACTTCCAAAAAAAAAAAAAAACTGAATACAGATATTCTGTCCAGTTAACACATGAGCAGATATTCAAAGAAGAAATATGGACGGCAGCTGTGGTGTGCTTGGTACGATATTACAGAAAGGGCTAACTCCAACCTATCAGGGTTCCCACGATATTTTACAAATCATTTTCCAGGAGTTTTTCTTGACAATACAGGACAGCACTTCTATAAGCTATGGTTTCGGGCAAATTGACTACATTGATTTGGCCACAGCCCATCAGTAACCATTCCATCAAGTAGAATTTATTTTATTTTTTTTAGTGTTCATTACATGCACAATTAACACCTCTGTGGATGTATTTATCACAGCAACATGGAATCTGATCATTATTATTATGTACCGGTATACATGGAGATATGCAGATTTTTCTCACACGTCTATATACACAAGAATCTCAATTCTTATCTCTTATGATTCTGCATCAATTCACAAATGCCAAAAATCTGTTTTCTAAATGTTAGTTAATAAAGGCATGTTAACAGAACAAAAAAGGTGGAACTTAAATGCAAGAGAGTGCAGCACCTGGGAAATCTACAGCACACACACGCTAGAGTTACTTGTTGTTTATCTTTAAAAAAAAAGACAGCTGTTGCAAGCATTTGTTGATTTAATGACTCAATAAGTAGCTCTTCGAGACAAACGTGAATATATTGTGAATACTTTCTACGCTGTGACACAGAGACTAACGTTAGCGTCGCAGCACAATCCAGCAGTAACAAACTAGACCAGCGGACCAACACACGCTGTAGCAACAACTTAAACAAGTTAATCCAACTCTAATGTAAGGAGAATGCGCTTATTCTTGCTCATATTATTGGTAATATTAATTGAACTGATTTTTTTAGTTTGTGTTCAATAAAAATCTGCTTTAAAAGACGTGACCAGCAGACTGACTGATTTAATGACTGATCAATCAGAATCGAGTAGTAGTAAACTACTAAAAAAGGGACAAATTAATATTCATGAGACTGAGTGATTCCTGCAGCCTTAGTCAGACCTTCAGCTCAGGATTCAAATGTGTTACAATGCATACACGACATACAGATGCTGATCGTTAAGTGAAAATATCTGCTAGAGATTCCATGTTGTTCTGAGCCTGTTAACAAAGGAGGAATAATCATTCATCATAATCAATAGTTAATACTGTAAAATAAGAATGCAAGACTACCCAACACTGTTTTCTGAAAGCCTGAATTAGCATGGGATGGTCATTATGAGAATATATTTGACAGAAAAAAAACAAAACACAAAATAACCAAGCAAGCAAACACAAAACTATATAATATAAAACTTGTCTGATTGGCTGGTAAATACAGCCGATATTCTCACTGAGATTATAGGAATTCTTCCACCACGCCGTCTTATTAATGACATAGTTAACATATTGAAAAAGTGGCCTAGTTATAAAGTATAACCATGCATTTCAGGCTCTGCCATTTTTGTCTACATGATAAAAGCACAATTAAGAGCCACTAACCACCAATAAGCTGGTGGCCTTCTACAAAGATGAGCCTTCTGTTATATTAAAGAAAGCCACGAATGCTTGGCTTGGGATATGCTTCCAACACTCATAATTCACGTAAACACCACACACTGACAAACAAGTCCAGCACTTTGATAGTCTGCAGCCTCGACATGACCCAATGAACATGCAGTCTGTCCTCCAGACCTTCAGGTGGCAGCTTAGTACATGAGGTCTGCTGGCTCCCAAAGGGCTATGGGATGAGAAGACGGCAGTGTGTGTAGGAGTATAACACTTACCTGTAGAGTCCAGGTTGTTGGCATTGGTGTTGTTGCCAAATACTGAGTCAAAGTCGACGTTAAGGCCTTGAGAGTTCTGTGGCTGCTGGGGCGTTGGGGAGGCTGTAAACCCTGGTGGCAAAGAGAAAGATAAGTATCAGGATCCAGATACAGTCACCTCAACTTTCTAAACTAAAATGTACCATGAAATGCTACCATCGAGCAACCATCCCAACCACTGCAGTAGATTCATGTTTGCTGAAGAGAGATACAGAGACACAGAGATAATTAAGCTGATGCTCTTTAGTACACTCGTGATAATTGGGGCAGTAAAGAGCTGTAATTCCTATACCCAAAAAGAAAATCGGTATCGGTTCCATGTCAGTTTTGTTGCTGCAGCATGACCCATACAATTATTTTTCCAAAAACGCATTTCAAAGTGAGACTGAAAAAGGAAACTTGTTACTTAAGTTATTCATTAATTAATTCTTCTAATACATTTTTGAGAGCTGTCAAAATCATATTTAAAACATTGTAAGGCCTAAAATTTGGATTTTAAACTTTTTAAAACATGCCACACTCAAAAAGGGAAAGTAAAAAAGTGTTGTTGTGCTTTGTAATGATTCCCATACAAAAGTAATCTGGTTTTAAGGAAATCTCTCTAACTTTGTCTTATTAAGACATCACAGCTAACAGTGACTTCGATTTAACAAGTTACAACAATGTTTTGCAATGGTTTCTATGCTGTAACGACCTCAATGTCTGTTAGAGCTGCAATGATAAGGCGATTAAGCAATAAGTTGTCAACTTTTATTCACCAAATATTTTGATAATTGATTAATCGTTTTGAGTCATTTGTTTTAGAAAAAAATGTCCATGTTCTCAAATTTCAGCAATATTTTCTGGGTTCATAGTCATAGTAGTAAGAATATCTTTTGGGCTGTGGACAAAACAAGACAGTTGAAGACCTCTCCTTGAACAGTGATAAACATTTTTCACAATTTTCTGACATTTTATGGAGCAAACACTTAATTGAGAAAATGATTAACAGATTCACACATTTTTTCCGTTTGACATTAGAAGATTAAGAAAAAATACAACCTGAAAACAACCAAACTAAGGTACATCAGGTGTTTTAGGTTGGATTTCTGCATAGGACTTGTAACACCTTGATCAACCTGGGTCTACCTACCTCTGAATAGACCAGCTACGGCAGGGGGCTCAGATTGGAAGAGAGGAGTGGTGTTGTAAGGGCTTGGCCCACAGAAGGAGTCTGACACACAGCAACAACAGCAGACAGACAAAGAACCAGACGGAGAGAGAAGAGGGAGGAAGAAGGGAGAAGATTATGACAATGCAAGACCAGAAAAAAGATTAAGCAGTGAAAAGGGCAGCAATGAAGCAAAGCAACTGTGGGAATGGCTTTTGAAACAGAGGAAAAACAAAGATCGGATTTTTTGGACAAAAGCAGAGGAAGCCAGCACTCATCACATGGCTAGACTAAATACAGGGCAAACATTTTGGGAAGCGCACAACTAGTGGCTAACCACAAAACAATGCAGGCTCACAACCACTGGCTTGTACAAAGCAGGGAAGGCAGGATGTTCAAACTCACTGAGACACCGTGTCAATCAAGTTCTACTCATCGCATTCCACAAATACTAAACAACATCGCACTACTCTCATGTCAGCACTCCAGCAGCCAGACAGTTGTCCACTATAGTACCTGTGATAAATGTCTCTATATGTGCAGCAGCATCAAGATCAGATGCCAGGGAAGAGCTTGAGTCAAAAAAGGGATTGTAATGATCTGGAGGAAAACAAAACAAAACCGCTGCTGATAAAGATAGACATTTGTGCACTAGGGAGTTCTGGCCAGAAATACAAAAAGCAAATAAAAGATTAAACAGCTTAAATCAAAGATGGCTAAGAGCTGAGAAAATAAACATTAGGAACTTAGCCTGATTGTGGAAGGAAGCAAATATTTGGAGAAGGGCAGCATGCCAGATCTTTGATGAATGTGAGAAAAGGGTTAAGAAACAGTATGTTCTGACCAGTGACCCTAAACCACTTCAGGCATTTCCTCCATTTCTTCCCCCGCTACTTTGAAATATTCTTCTACATCTTCACTCCGTACCCATTACACAGTGAAATCAACTACAATCATTAGCCAGGGTGACGTTATGAGACATTGTGTAGACACAAAATGAGATCCAGACTGTGCAAGAAAGGAGAAGATGCAGCAAAACAATCCCACCGAACACTTCATGGCTTGGTGTCCTAGAGGACAGGCTGCCAGCGTCTGAGGACGCGGCGGACGTGTCGACAACAGGTAGTGTGAGGAAAGGGTTTGAGTTTGGAATGGATTCCTCCACAGCTTCTGCAGCAGAGGTGAAAGGATCTGAGCGGGCAGAGAAAAAGGAGGACAAGAAAAAAAAAGGGAGGGAACAGAGAGATAATGGTGGAGAGGAGGGTGAGGAAAGTTTAAAAGAGAAGTTAAAAAAGTGCATGCAAGATGACGTGCAGGGGGAAAATGTCAGTGATGCAGGTGAGGAGGATTAAAACAGTGTTGGAGACAAAGGATGTTATCATGCACTCTGCTGCCTATTGGCCAAATTTAAGGCCTGACCACCAGCTTTATACAACCGCTTTAGTTAGTCCACGGGTTAAGGGTCTTCATTATCAGAACGGTCAGAGTCCAGCACACAGGCTGATATCCAAAGACATCTGTGCTCACAATAATACAGTAATTTCATTTATAAAAATCCACTATGCCTTAACTCTTATGGAGGGATAAGTTTTCCTAATCAGATAAAAAAAACAAAAGTTACTTGAAGTAAATGAGCATGGACTATGTATAAAACTATAATTTTAGTCTGCACGCTAACATTATACTACATTATTTACATACCTTCTGATATGAAACTGAAGTGGAAACACTTCAAACAACATTATAAAGAGATATGAGTTAAGGTTGCAACTCAAACTAGGCACTATGCAAGTCAAAGACAAGTCCCAGCAGGGCAACAGGGCAACACACTGCTTTGTATGGGGGCAACAAAAGCAGATTGTTGCATTGCCTCATGTCGCCTGTGTCTTGGCCAACACAAGAACCCACCGACTCAACTACATGTACAGCCAACTAGCAAGTATGTTCTGCACCTATGCAAGAGGTAATACCTGTCCGTACCATGTGGCAGCAGTCAGTACTGCAGACAGTGCCAACGGTGTGGCAGACACTGCAAAAACTAAGGCTACAGATCCTTACAGAGGGCCTGACATTGTCCCATGGCTGACCGTTGGACTAGTGTGTCAAAGCCTTTATGAATAGGGATATAGAAGTTCTACGTTTAGTACCAAAGAAAAAAGCTGTCTGAGAGGAAGGTAAAGTGGTGAAAATATTCGTAATGTTGTGTACATTGTTATTTGAGGTGGGCCTTTTTTATGTGGTTAAAATAAATTTTTCTGCAGCAGTGCATTGCTCTGCTTTCCCGCCAGGACTTCTGTCTGCTTCTCCAAACTGTCCAAATCTAAATCCCTTTAAAAAGGTACAGTTATATGATACTGGCAAGCACTGCAGGCATATGTCCTTAAATAAAATAAAAATAAGTAAAATAAAATAAAAAGCAAGAAAACTGTTGTTTCTGCTTGTGCTGTTGTTAGCAAATAGAAAGGGTTTAACACACAAATCAAAACCTATTCACATAAACATGACCTGAGAATATAAATTCGGTACATGATGATTACAAATTAATTACTTAATTTTCCTGCTGTCCTTTTCATGAGTAAGGAGGACGTTGTGTATGTAGGGCCAGTAGGGATAGTTGATGTTTAACAGAAAACATCAACTACAGGTCAAAATATATGGCCACCTCACAAAAAAAGACATAAATTAATGAGTAGGTGCCAGTACTGGGTTTTAAATAGTTACCATTAATAATATTTATGTTTGGTATTTGCAACTCTTTTTTAAATTCTGTTCTTGGTTATTCATATAAATATTTAATTTGAATGATCATACTGTAAACCCCAATCCTCCCTTTTTATAATAAATAAGCAATCATCCTGTATGTGTGTACTGTGGAGAATTTTTAAGAGAGGTGTGTGTGCGCTAATGAGTATGTGTGTACATGTGGTAGCAGTGTGGATTGAAGAGTTGCCAAGAAGTGTGGAGTTCTCACCTCCCCATGTGTTAGTGGTGGAGAGGGGCAGCGGCTGCTGGAAGGCCGGTTGCAGGTCCAGCAGGTCGTTGGCTGCCTTGGAGTTGCTGGAGCGAATGAGCAGGAAAACAAGGGCATAGAGGATAAATCAGTCACTCATTCACAAAACATTAGATTTTCCCCCCAGCTCCAAGGTTGCTACTAGAAGAAACAAATATGACTGCAATTTTGTCCTCAGCAATCCAGGTGCAGCTAAAAATTGATTATTTCCATGTACAAATTGTGGTGTTATAACTGTCGACGGTGTTATGTTAATGTGTCGCACTGCCCTATTTGCATTAGTATTTTCATTCAGTATTTTTATTGCATATTCTTGTTCTGCATCTGAGGTTATCAGTACTACTGCTGCAACGTCCCAGTTTCTATACAGGGATCAAGGTTTCATCTAATCTTAGAGAACCTGTGAAACCATTTTGATCTACTTGCATTTAAGTAATCCTTTCAACTAAATTATCAACATCGATCTACCAACCTTGAAGGTGTAGAACGCAAAAAGCTCAAACACATAAGTTGTTTGTGTTGTGTAGATCTAAGATGGCGCCACGGACGGTCGCCCTGGTGTGTTGGTGCGCTTTGTTTTTTCTTGTTTTGTGTGTTAATTAAGTTTTCGGCTGTGATACTAGAGAAGAGCTCATGAACATCAGGGGAATAACTCCAGCTGATCTCTTTCCTACTTTTCTTCTTTCTTCCGTGGAATATGCATTACATTAATGCACTCCCATCTTCTGTACAGTTTTCCTATCTTTTTCTTACCTTTCTTATCTTTATTTATCTTTTTTTTTTTTTTTTTAAAAGTACTTTATTCTTGTGTGACTTGTATATTTTTGTGTGATTTATATATGTATCTTTTTATTTTTTGTGTGATTGTATATTTTAAGCACCATTGCACCAAGACAAATTCCTCATATATGTAAAAACCTACCTGACAATAAATCTCATTCTGATTCTGATTCTGATTGCCACAAAGCTGATTAAGTAACTTCAATCAGTCTTCAAATTTCTAAACTTCCATTGATGCCGTTTTATAAACAAACAGCAGTTAAAGAACTGCAAAAACGATTTGATCTAATTGTATGTTTCATCTGCAACTGAATGTACAAGCAAAAACATGCAGTGGCATCTCCTTCAAGAGATGCAGAGAAGCCATGAAACCGAGTGGTGGTCACTTTAAAGTTTCCATATGTATGATTCTTACGCATTTTACGCATGACTTTCATGTAATAATCACTTTTTACAGCAAATTTGTGAGAACGGGTTGTAACTTTAACTTAAAGAATGAGACCTCCCCCTACTTTCTCAGTTGCCTGTGAGCTGAGGGGAATCCAATGTATGTGACATTTATGTGTTTATATGTTTCTGTACATTCTCTCTCCACTTCTCTACAGTGTCAACAGTGTGCAACTTTAGCTAACGTTAGCTTGAAAATGGAGTCTGCTAACGTCAATGTACAAACACCCATCTCCCAAAACAACACAAAGTCCAAAGTCAAAGCTTACATTACTGCAAAGTATTTTGTGGTTTGGGCTGGATAACGTTAGCTTGCTACCTAATGCGGATGAAATTGCTAAAATACTGCCTGAGTGGATGAAGTCAGCTATTTCATCCAGTCTCCAGGCTTGCTGTTTCCAGGTTACTTTGTGGGCTGGCACTGTGGGGTGGCCAGCGCTGGAAAACCTTACCAGCATGGCTGGGTTGCTTGCTTGCTCATTTACATAACAATAGCAAAATACTATCTGACTGGATGTTATTTGGCAAGCTTGCCAAAATTACCAGCTTAAAATGTGTCGATTTTAGCCAAAAATAAATGTGGTACAAAGCTAACAATTGCTTTCCCAGCCAAGAGCAATGCAGGGCATGGGGATCTAACAAGCTAACTGTAGTCTAACTTAAGCTGCGTTTGGCTAGCTGTGGCTTGACATTGTGGTGTGGGTCTAGCTGATTTGTAAACAGCAAGCTAATTAGTAGCATGGAGTCAATGGTCCAAATAAAACATAAGAATATTTCTAAACATGATTGTAATTTATTTTCTCATGTATGTCACCACTAGCCGATGCCCATTATGATGCTCCCCAGCGCCTATGAACTGTGTACCGAGTGTGAGGACAGGATGCAGGACTGCAGTTCACTTAACGGCCATTAACAGTTTTTAAAAGTTACATATAGAACCTTTAAGATGATTGACAGGGTGTGAGTCCTGTGTGATCACCTGTTGGTAGAGCTGGGGGTAGAGAAGAGGTCAATGGCGGGGGCTGAGTTGATGGTCCCGCCCACCGTGGAGACAGGGGAGGAGTCTGTGGTCGCTGTAGCAGGATTCTTCTGAAGCTCTTTCAGACGCTGCTCCTACAATGATAAGGAGGCTTATGTTAGCAACGCAGAGGCTAACCTGTATCCAACTACTCAGTGTGACTACTCAGTTGTTTTTTTAAGCATTTTGCTGTAATTTGGCTGTTCAAAGCAGAGTGAGACATGAAATATGGGGAGAGAATAAAAGGGGTGACATACAGCAAAGGTCTTGCCCTGAATCAAACAGGGGATGTTAGAATTACTACATTTTTACATTTCATCTTTGACCAGTATATGACATTTGACCTTCATGTTACAAAACTTGTCCAATCCTGTTTTCTGCAGATACGAAATAAACAGAAGCTTTTGTTCTCCGATGACCTAGAACAATTAATTCACAGCTTCATTTTCTCCCCTCTAGATTACTGTAACTCCCTCTACACGTGCCTCAGTCAAGCTTTGTTAAATCGTTTACAGTTAGCCCAAAATGCAGCCGCCAGGCTTTTAACCAGAGCCAGCCGTCGGTCTCACATTACTCCTGTTCTCGCATCCCTTCATTGGCTTCCGGTAAAATTCAGAATCAATTATAAGATCTTACTGATTACATATAAGGCACTTCATGACTTTGCCCGCAGTTACATTTCGGATCTCCTTGTTCCTCGTCTTCCCCATTCACTCAGATTCACTGAATCTGTGGACTGTTTTAAGCGGCTGCTCAAAACCTCTAGATCTCCTTGTTTGTTTTCTCATCTGTTGTCTCTCTTTTCATTTATGCTTTCCCTCTTGTTTTATCTTCCTTATGTTTGTATTTAAATGCTCCCTATGTATGTTTATGCATGTACATGTTTATATGTATATATGCATATATATAGACCATTTGTATGTTTGTGTTTTTTATTTTTGTTTGTAAAGCACTTTGCAACTCTGTGTTAAAAAGTGCTATATAAATAAAGCTTTACTTACTTACATTGTATACATCTCAGACGATAAACCACAGGCTATTCAAAATCTGCACCAATCATCATGGCTATGTATTTGCTATAATCACTAAAGAAGAGTCCTAATGACATGCACGGCATGACTTCATTCAACTTCAAGGTATAGCAAAATGCCTGCAGGCCTGAAAGTGAACTAAGCTGAAAGGAATGCAGGTGAGTAAGGAAAATTTACTTTTAGTGCTTTTAGGCGAGCCTGCTCTTCTTCCAGGGCAGCCTGTTTTTCCCTCTCGTCCACTCTGGTGAAAGATATACCGGTGTTGGCTAGGGAGGAGACCGCACTGGAGAGGGTGCTAGCCCTGAATCAGGGGACAGACACAGAAAACAGTGACTAACCAAAAAAAAAATCTAATCAAAATATTTTCGCCACATTTTCACATTATATACTTTTACCACTGGACTTATGCACACCTATTGCTGGTTTCTTCTTGTCCCTACAGTGTGCTGTTTGAATGCTGTCTGTGCAGAGTTTGACACTAGAAGGATGTTTTCACATTCATCTGCTGAAAGTGAAAAGTTTCTCTGTGCTCATTGAAAATCTGATTTTAAGGGGCGGTGCCTAACAGCATGATTTGTGACATCATAAAAAGTTTGGGAGTCAGTCCTGGTCCAGTATCAGCTTGTACAGTGTGATGTAGAAACTTGAAGCCACCAGTGCACATCCACTGAGAATGGACTTTACAGTGAATTCTGGAATTTTTAATGAGGTAGGAGTAGATGACCTTTGAAGGATTTTAATGTGGGAATTATTTTGCTACAATTTTGTTTCAAGCTTTCAATTTGTACACATGTCCTAATACAACTGTTGAACTATCTTCCATGCTGAAAAAAAAACACCTTTAAAAATCAGTCCAATGATATCAAGTTGCTGAAGCAAACATGAGCCTCTGCTCTGAGCCCGGATGGCATAGAGCCAGATCAAGTGAACAGAGACGAAGCAAACCTACCTGCTGGCTGCTGTTGAGTCTTTGACTTTTTTCCCCTCTAAAGAAGCCAAGTGCTGCTCCAGGGCATCCAACAGGCTGCTGGGGGCCTAGCGTGAATCCAATTGACACACATTAACTTTCAAACGTTGAGGAAAGCCTTATACAAAATGTCCTCTGAAGAATAAATACAAAAAATAAAAATGAAGCATGCAAGTTATTGCCAAGACTCCACAAACAACGCTACTCTCAAACACAGAGACAGAGAGAGAAAAGGTTCAGATACTTACACAAACTGTAAACTGAAAATGGAGAGATAGAAGGAAGGGAAAATACAGAAAATAAAGGTGGTAACAGTGAAGATACTAAGAAATGTTTGGGAGAAAGCTCTAATTCTGGCTACAGTTGCAAAGTTCTAATTGCATAGTGAACAACAGAGCCTGCAAATAAATAGATTCTGCACATAAGGCACAACTTCAGCAGGTGACTGGACCTACCATATAACCACACTAAAACCCTTAATTCACACCTTTATTTGCTGTACAACGTGCAAGGTCAGGAGTGTGTGTGAGTTGGAAGGTGTTTATGAGTGCAGAAGTGAGCCCATGCATTGCCTAGCACAGCACTTGGTGTTATAACATGTTAGGCCTGAAGCAGCAGGGGGCTAGCAGCCTGCAAGAAGACAATAATAGCCAAATTCTGGAAGTTCGCATTATGGAGGTCACTAAACCTACTCAGGCACACATAATGACCTACAATAACACTGTAAATCAAACAATGCATGACAGTATAGTCTCAGAAAGTACTACCATCTTACCAAGTTACCAAGAGTTTGAACAATAGTTCTGAGTTCTCTTGCTGCAGCTTCTGTAACAGCTCTCTTAAAATGAGACTCACTCAGTGCACACTAGTGTTTAACAGTGGGCCTAGTAGTGTAACTGGTACTAAAACATATGTCAAATATGTAAAATAACAACAATAATAAGCTGTTGAATTCCCCAAAATTTAAAGGCTCAGTTCATCCATATATTTGCATGTGAACTGTTGAGGTTTTATGTCTCGAGGTCACAAGATGTTAAGGATAGGGAGAAGTGAATACCCCAGTTTCTATATCTGTTCAACCAGCCAAAATATCCCAATCCAACAGAAGTGAGTGAGACTAACTGGTAGTTGTTAAAGATGCAGTAAGTAACTTTACTGAAAACAAATTTTTGTTTTATTAGCTAATAAATGTATTACTATATCCTGATTTAGCAAATATGAAAAAACGTTATTTAAAGCTTTAATTTAAATTTGAAATTGACATGGGCTGATCAGAAGTTGCTATTAAAAACAATTTACAGAACATCTTCAACTTTATATTGATATTGATTGATACTGGTTTCACTTGCTTAACCCTACTCTCCGGTACCCAAACACAATGAAGGTGAGTGGAATTTCGTTGGTAGAACACCAACATTTTTGAAAACTCAATAGCAACTCAATAAATATTCCTTAAAATTTCTCTCACCTCCATTGTGTTGTAGTTGCGAAATAATTCTCAGTGGTGGATATCTTAAAACCTCAGCACATAAAACAGAAACTATGGGCATGGCAGATACATATACTGCTCATTCAAATAAAAGTGTCATTCAAGTACAGCTGCATACTGACAGTATTCATTCATTATTCCATGACGATTTGCCACCTAAAAGTACATTTGTGTGCTGCTTCATGGCAAATACATGGGATGTTACACTATATATTCTATAAATATATGCACATTATATAAATAATGTTCTATTCATTATTAATTCCCCCAAATTTGGCCATTCTCCTCTTTTTTGTTTGGCAAAGCCAGCAAAAAGGGAAAGTTAAGGCAAGTTATTTGAAGTAATTGCAACAATGCCAAATGGATATGTTTAGAATTTGCATTACCTGAGACAGATCTGGGATGTCCCCTCGATCAATTCCCACTTGCTGTAGGACGAGAACACAGAGTATCAGAATTTGCACGGATCTAAATGATCCCAGGCCCCTTTGTAATTACTGACTGGTTGATTTGGGGTCCTGACTTACCTCTGCAACTTTGAGGAACTCTGAGATTCTTGTCATTCGTGTAAGGAATTTCTTATAGATGTCAAGTCCTTCTTTGCACTGGACTTTCTTCATATCAAAGTATTTCTCTGTTAAAAGAACAAGAAAATAACACAAAAAAGACACCATCGTCATTTCCCTTACAATTGTAATTGTGTAATTTTTGTATTTTTATAGGGTATATACATTTAAGTCACCCTTCCTAAGCCACGCCCATTTTTGCTCTGCACTCCAATGGCAAGCCTGGGTCAGAACCTCAGTCAATGTTCTCATTTCCTGTACTTAGATATGCTATGTGCTAGGCTAATCTATGTTCAAGAGACAAACATATTTGATTTAGAGAAACAGAATGGCTGTGCCAAAACAAAAGCTTGTTGTTACCCAGGAGGTTGATTATGCCCTCATTGTATGCTGCAAACAGTCGGATTGCATCTTTGAACAGAAGCATGAAGGCTGCATTGATCACACCGTTTGTCAGTTCGTTGGCGTTGACCTGGAAGAAAGGTGGAGGTCTTGAGTATGTAGGAGACAGCCAACTGGTCACAAAATGCAAATAACATGTAAAATATGGACCCAGTGTCATCCATCAGTTTAGACGCCAACTGGTGCAGCCAATACTGAGCACTCACATTAAAGTCAAGTAACACGTCCATCTGATTTTGGATGATAGGTATGGTCTTGAGGAGTTTCTCTGTGTTCACAGTTCTCATCACTCCGTCAGACCTGTGCAAAGAGATAAATGATGATGAATTGATATAGTGTGATTTTTGTTTTAAATCTATTTTTAGTAAAACTGTCACAGTAAAAAGAACACAACCACCATAAGCGTAAAATCTGAGTAAAAAATGTTTTCCTCCATTTGTATTTCTCAAATTTGCTGAACCATCCAAATACAAAAATTCATTTTTGAGAATAGATACAATATCACAAAAGAAAACATCGCGATTTGATATTTTTCAATATTTTCTTAAACCCCTTACAGTTACACTGCAATAGATACAAAATAATCAGTTAAATTAGGCTTACTGGACCCAGACACGCCAAAGAATTAAAAATAAGACGTTTCTTTTTTTCATTATGGGAAAGTTTTTTTCCCATAATGAAGTTCTAAAAGTTACATGCTGCATATATCTGATGAGCTTATGCAACTTTTACCAAAACTATCACAAGAATTTTCAGGAAACAAAACTATTGCCGTGTTATTTCACAAGGCCAAGGAACAAGATATCACTAACATTTCAGTCAGTCACAGTGGAAGTTAAGAAGTCAAAGTGAAAGCTCCTTACCCTCTTTTCACTTTAGTGAAGTCAAAAGCGACTTGTCTGTAGGACACAGCCTTCTCATTCAGGTAGCGGCTATACCTTCTTATAAATGTCGACATGTCATAGCCTACGTTACAAACCAAGGAAGTAAGGGAGTCACAATAAATGTCAGATGTACATGAGTATTCAAAGGTTTATTTCTGCACAGTGTGTACAGTTTGGGTGATTTACCTTGTAGGCCACTTTTGTCCAAAAAATTGCTGAGGTTGAAAAGTGTGTTCCTTGAAGCCAGATACTGTATAAACCTCTGCAAGAAAAACAGCATATGAGGAACTCTGTATGCTTGCACAAGGGGTGTTTACCACAAGTGGGGCTTGTGAACCAGTTCACTGTTGCACAAGGAACAGCTTTTACTTTTAGTAGTGCACTACTATGAGATGATAACAAGCTATCTCTTACCCCATGTCAACACAGTGTGTGTACAAGGGTGAAACTTTTGTTATCTGACAACAGTTCGTCCTAACCTCATTGCCGTAGACCATCAGATGGTGTGTGGCGGTGAGGGACTTGAAGACAACCACCCAGCTGGTGTTGGTGGTCCTCTCAAACAGTGTGTCAGCCAGCTGAGGGATGTTCACATTCATCTCATTTGTGCACTGAATCAAGTCTGAGGAAGGAGAAAGACAAGAGAAAAAAAGGAAGGAAGGGGGAGAAGGATTGATCAGCAAATGTGGTACTGAGGAAATCAATGCACACAACCTCAGAGGAAGCAAGGTTGCTGTTCAGTGAAAGCAGACATTTTCTCCATGTGGCTTCCGCATTTTCTTTCTTTCTGCTCAACGCCATGCTGCCCACAATAGATAAAATACTGGAGTGAAATGGAATGCTGGTTAGTCAGAGTTCAGGCAAACAAAGACGTTCAGGACAAACAATCAGTGCAAAGCTAAGGTTCAGGAATCTTTGACAGACTGTCTGGAAATGGGTGGTTTCATCATCATTACCCGATTAGTCGCTTGTTACTTAAAATAACATTGAAAACAAGTCATGTTACTCATAACCTTTGCTTATTGTTCACACACATCAGTAGTAGTGTGTGAACAATAGGTAGTAATCTACCTGCTGCACAGATCCCTGCTACACCTGGAGGACAGCAGGAGCACGGTAGTAGCTCCTTCAGCAGCAGACTGTTACACCGACGGTGTAAGAAGGAGAGGTTCCGCAGGTCTTCTATCCCTGCCGCTGTCAGACTCTACAACACCTGCACCACCTGATCATGTTGTAGTTTCTATTTCCAATTACCACCACTACTCACCATAGCTTTTATATCTGGTTTTTTTTTTTTTACTCCAATTACTTACCATGTACAATATTATTTATACTATGGGCACTTTACTTTTAGTACTCGTTCTGCCTGTCTTTGCACTTGTTTGTTATTTGTCCGTTTGTTTATGTTTAAGGACATTTGTGTCTGTTCATTGTGTTTACCCATTCTATTTTATTTCTGTAGTGTATATTACACATCTTTTGCTTCTGTCTTGCTGCTGTCACGAGTTAATTTCCCCGTTGTGAGATGAATAAAGTATAATCTAATTTAATCTTCATCAATAGCAATAAGAAAACTGTTCAATAAAATATCAGCATAGCATGTCCACAAAACCAGAGCTCAAGGGATCTCTTAAAAATGGCCAGTTTTTACATCCATAGTATGACATGGTTGGTACCAATGGATGCATTAGGTGAACTAGTTTCATATGATACCACACATTAAATGATATTATTACCTGTGTGCTTTGATAAATAAAGTGGCTAAGTTCAACTTTTTTTCACTTGGTATTTACTAAAAATAGGTTATTAAAAGTTATCGATAACTGAAATTTAAGATATTATTGTGATACATTTTCAGCTACATTGCCCAGCCCTACTTTGACAGGGCATACATTTTTAACATGGCTGCCATGGCGGTGCGCCATGACCATCTGGCCTGAAGTGAAAGCAAATGCCTCCTGGTTCCGCTTTCCATGAAGGCCGTGGGATGGATCAATGATGCCAGACCTCAACAGACCGCCCATATATTCCACACAGACAGAGCCCTCTCTCATTGCTGTGTGCCCATTCTTAAAGCGCATCTTGAACTTGACAGTAACTGGTGGTACCACAATTTTTACTCATATATAAAGTGTTAGGAGTGTAAATATGTGAAACGTAAAAGCTTTCTTGAAAACCTAATTGCACCCTCTTCAATGAAAAATATCTACAATGTGGATACCTGGGCTAGCTTTATATACTATTTGATATTCTAGATTTGGATAATCATCTCAGACTGTGTTTTTTAAACTGGCATTCACCAAACTCACACTAAGGCAACAATGGGTACAGATAACAGAGAGGGGGAGGAAAATGAGCTCAACACACTGACTGCAAACAAACCACAAACAAGAAACATTCTTCTGCAATCAGGCTCCAAAATTAGCACAGGCCACAAAAAGTGAATAAAATAAAAGGAGGTCAACTGGCATTGGTGGTTGTGCTGTGTATAACCCTAATTGGCAGGTTGCTAAGTAGGTCTATTTTACTACAAACTCTCATCACTACAACACGTGAATTTATTTAAAAAAAAAAGTTTTTATTTTTTTAAATCGACCCTGCACACTGGTGGTGGCATGCAACACATGACCGTCAATAATCGTACCACAATTCTTTGATTGACCCTCGCTGTCCACTGTCGCTACTTCATCTAGATAGCGACCAAGCTTGATTACCAGTACCACTGTTAACACAGTAGGCATGTCACGACAACCGATACTTTGGTACCAAGTTGATACCACAATTCTGAAAACTTGACAGTACTGGTTTTTCTATAGTATAGTAGCGTAGGTACTGAGGATGCAATTTTTCTGAACCTGGTGGGGCAACATATACGTGTGTAAATATACTAGTCTGCCGCCAAATACCATAGGAAGAAGTAGAACATGTTGAAGACGGCAACAAGTGCAGCTGTACAGGTGTTTTACTTGCAAAACGTGTACATTGCAACCGTTGTCAATTCTTTTCACTGTCTCTCCACCACGCTGTGCTGTGCTGTGCGCATGCAGGGGCTGACAGGGGTGGAGAGCAGCACACTGCAAGTACAACAAAGACCCTGCAAACAAAAAGCAAATAATAGTATTTTATTAATGTAGTCCGTGTGAAAGATGTACAGATGAGGAAAATAAACAATGAACAGAATATAGCTAATTTAGGTAACTCAAGCCTTTGCACTGCAGCAACAAACTGCAGGAGTGAAGACACTATTAAAAAGGGAGAGAGAAATTCCCTCCAGACAGCGACAAGACCAAAAAAGATTACAGAGACGGTTTGTTCGGCTTTTTTATAGCCTACTTTGTTATTTAGTCGAGTATAATAAAATAATAAGGAACAGCTTGGATGCAGGCATTTTTTTCTGAATGCAATGCAGAGCTATTCAACAGTTTTATTAAGGAAAATACAAGTATTGGATCAGGGCTCGGTATCAGCAGATAGTCAATATTACATGGGGATCAGGGGCAAAAAAAATTTGTTCAGGACATTTTTACCGTGGTATCAGAGCGCTTTTGAAAATCATGGAATTTCCCTGGTACTAGTATCGCCTACAAAGTTTCTGGTATTATGACATGCCTATACCATATGGGACAATTTCGTGAAAATTGCAAAGAGAACGTGTGCGTATGTGGTGGCACACTGCAGGAGTAAATCGAAAAATGAATTAAGTGGCTTAACAGATGACATGGTTAGGAGAGTTTTTAAACGGATCTTATACCGGTTGAAAAATATCTGGGCTGATAAACTGTTTCAGTTTAGCAGACATTGGCAGATAGACCAAGAAGTTAATTTTGGACCCTGAAGTGAAAATCATGTGATGAATCTGTAAAATCCTGAATAGCAAACTCTGACAGAACAATGTAATTTATGTGTCCCAGTACATGTCATCAGATGAGAAACAAAATCTTTGATGAGGTGCTAGAGGAAGGTCTTTACTTTGTCCTCTTCCAGGAAATCATGTGACAGACTCACTGTTGAGAATGATTCCAGTTATATAATATTCATAGCCATCAGATGCCAAAAGAGAGGCATGGCAGTCAATGTAAATAAATATTTAAGTGAATTTTATATTTGACTAGAGATGAATGATCCTTTCTTGAACCTACAGATTCTTCAAGATGTGAAATTGAGTAACAATGACATGTTCCATTTTATATCCCCATTTTTCTAACTGTTTCTGTGGTATTCTTATAGATTCAAATTAAATTGAAAAGGTTAAAAGAGGGTACCAAAATGGACTACGGTACATACGTACATAATAATTGACAACTGTCTCACTCTACAGAGCCACATCAATGAAAGGAATAAAATATCTTGTTTAAGTTAATGGTTAACATTAACCGCTGTGTAGGAGCTGTGCTCCCCATTGAGGCCTGTTTACATGGGTGGTCTGTGAATCCTCCTCAGTGTTTGTCGAAAGCCACACAAAAGCCTTTTTGCTTTTTACATACACAATAGGCCACCCATGTGACAACAAAAGCCTTTTCAGATGTGACTGAAATAACTGTGGGGAGTGCAATCACACCACCAACTTTCTCCACTTGTGTTCGTGCAGGACAAATCACAACAACCACACGGTTCTCGCTCATCACATACACAACCTGTACCACTCGCCATTGAACTCATCACCTTGCAGAAAAACTGAAATGAGAGTTGCAACTAGAAAAGTCTTCTTGTGTCAAGTTCAAATTGATTTATGGAAATGAAATTCCCATGGTATCCTGTCCTGTCCCTGTGTGCAAGTGGCCTCAAGGTTATAAGTGTTCTGTCTCTCACATGCTGATTTTCATTTCATGGTTGCGTATATCAGGCCTGTATAGCATGTCAGCATTCTAATGTTAGCTTTTAACTAAAAGCACAGCTGCCCTCCCACGGGCCAGATTTAACAATGTTGGTGACAACAACAAAGAATAGCAGTAGGGTATCTGTCCATTTCTCACCTAATTTTGTTTGCTAAATATAACTCATGCAGTGTGTATTCTAATATTTATAAATGAGTGAACTGACAGGCTGCATTGCATTCTCAAAAAAAAAGAAAAAGAAGAATATTATGATTGTGAACAAAGAAATGATTGACACACATAGCAAGGGAAGTCACTTAATAGTGAATAGTTTGTGGTTAGTCTGTTATTAATAGTAATGGTCTCTAGTAACATGTAAAGAGCATATCAATTTACAGTTTGAACAAGGCTCAGATCAAGGCTCACATCTTTGCTAAAATCTTAAAAAGATAAAGATAAAAGTGATAAAGAAAGGCATTAGGTAAAGCACCATCTAAACAAATAGCAACATTTAACAGAAAGTTAAGCAAAATGACACGTTAAGCTTGTTCAGTGCTTTCATTAGAAATCTGCTGTTTGAAGCCTGTATGAATATATGATATGATATGGACAAGTTCAAAAGAGTCAACTCCCCAAAAGGAAGAAACCATTTTGCATCAGTGATTATAATGTTGAGACAAGTGGCTAATTTCTTCTCCCGGTCTCCGTTTCTGCTGCTAAATGTCACTGACTGGGGCTGAGCTACCTTGTGGTATTCTGAGAATGTGTCAAAGTAACAGTTGCTCCTCCCAGTATGTGAAATGGCCAT